TCTTTTTATATTTTAAAAATCAACTCTTTATTAAATTACTTTTTTTTTTGTATACGAAACTTCGGCTTACAAAAAAAATGCTAATTGTTTCCAATTTTAAATTTCAACGTGGGAGAAAAATCAAAATTAAATTGAATATTTTTTTCTTTTTACTTTTATTTTGGTTATTCTTTTTGGGAATAAGGCTTTTTTAAAACTGTATTTTATACTCTCTAGATTTAATTAAAATAAAATGCGACTAAAAATCAAAACTGACGTACATAAATTTTTTTTTTTTTTTTTTTTTTTTTTGCATTTACAATCATAAAAATAAATTTAATATAATTTTTGTTACATTCTAGAGAAGTTTATCTATAATTCTGAGGTTTTACTCCCGGGTTCGAGTTGCACGCACAATCCGTATTATTACTTTATTTTATTATTATTTTTTAATTTGTATTCTTTCAAGATTTTTTATTGCAATCTGAAAAAGACAAAAGAAAAAAGAATTTTTAAAAAAAAGTTCGAGATTGGTCCACTCAGCTCATAATAATAAAAAAAATGACATTATTGTATTTTTTTTTTTCTAGATCATCATTAGGGTGACACATCAGAATCGAAAAATACATTTGTTTTTTTTTTTTCCAGCCATAGGAGAGGGCTGGAGTCGTTACCCGGCCAAAAGAGGAAGTGCCGAGGAGACTTGAACAATTTTCCCGGGGTATTCCTATTTTTAAATCTCGACTTTCGGTAGCAACGTAGCTGCTCTGAAAAATCAACATGTTTATACAGGACAGGGTGCGGCAGAAATACCTCCCACATAATGGTATTGGCACTGATTTATTATCGTTATGTGGGAGGTACTTCTGAGGGTTTTTTTTTTTTTTTTTTTTTTTAACGGAAAATTTTTAAAGTGGAAAAAATTATGACTTAGGATTTCATTGAACTTTTTCCACTTTGTTATAGTTTTATTGTTCTTGATGTATAAACATTTGTGTCGTTTTCCCATACAGTACAGTACACTTAGTGTAAAAAAAATCAATCCCCAATTTTTTTTTTTTTTTTTTTTTTTTACAGAGTTATCGGATCTTAACTATTTGTTTATGTCAAGTTTGAAACCCCGCTTACGTCATTGATATTTACATCCAAAAGACTTCTTTTACAAAAATATTTTTTTCAAATAAAGAACAAACGGATGCATACATCTTTTAAACAAGCAATTGTTTATCGGGTGAAATTTTTTTTCTTTTTTATAAAATATTTTAATTCAAGAAGTTACAGATCTATACATTTTTTAAATTCATGAGTAAAAATTTACATAAAAAAGTATTGAAAAAAATTGCACATACAAGTCTCAGGGTTACAACAGTCCCCATTTATTACAATTCATGGTTATGACACAATCTCCATTAACCATGTTTCCAAGTTGTATGCGGAGTATGCCATATTGAATTGTTGTGCATCTGCTCTCTTTTGTTTGTTTTGTGTTTGAGGAAATCTATTGGCCTCCTTTTTATCGCCTAAGCATCCATAGTGTAACCTTTTTTGATGGCGGGACTTCAAAGAAGTGGAACACCATTATTATGAAAATATGATTCGGATTACTTACATTAAAAATTGTGTTACTACACATCATGGGAATGGAACTCTTGTAAATCAAGGAATTCCTGTATCCATGAACTAAGCAAATTTTTAAGTTAAAACATTTGTAAATAAAAAAAAATCTAGGTCCAGTGGAATTTCTAATGAATACTGATCTGCAAAAATTATTTCCCTATTTCTTATGAGTGGAACTGTCAAGTTAAGTAGTCCCTTAAAAAGTATATTTGTTTAAAAATTTAACTAATTACATTTTACCAAAATAACATTGTTCTTATTAAAAGAATAGGTACATTTTTTTACCTGTGAAAAATTACACTTGTAACTAATAATTTATCTTCATATAGATATTATCAAATCTCTATTGATAAAAAAAAAAAAAAAAAAATCAATTTCAACATTTTTGCATGTAGTGTAGTTATCATCAGTGCTGCTGGAAGTAGAATTGGCAAGCTGAGTTCAAATCTTGGCATAGCCTCCTCACTTCACTTCTATCTTACATACTTATAAGTCTACCATTCATCCTTGCTTTGGATATTGCTGCCACATCTGGTCTGGTGCTCTTGCAATATATTTAGAGATTCTTGATAAAATCCAAAGACACTGCAATGTCATTGGTCCTGACCTGGCATCTCAGCTTCAGTCACTTTCCCACTGCCATAACGTAGCTTCCCTGTGCCTTTTCTATAAATACTTTTATGGTAAATGTTCTGATGACTTTTCCTCTATAGTACCTAGACTTTATGAATGCAGTACTAGATTGGCAGCTAGGTCTCATCATTTTGCAGTTGAAATTGCTCGATGTAACCGTAAGTTCTATGCTAACAGTTTCTTCTCTTGCATTTTTCACCTGTGGAACTCTCTTCTGACTCCTTGCTTTCCAGTCAACTTTGATCTTCAAAAATTTAAATGCAATGTCAATCATCATCTGTTTTCTTAATCCCTGTTCCTTTATTGTTCTCTCTCCTTAATAGTGTTAATAGTTTTAGATTGGTGACATGGTCTTGTCATTTTAAAGTTCAAATGTCTAGATGTAACTAAGTTCTTTGGTAACAATTTCTTGGGAAAGGTATGAATCCAGTGGTTCTCTCTCCAGATATGTATTAATTAGTAAGACTTGTATGACTAAACCATTATTACCCCACTACACCCCTCAAATTCTTACAATCTAAAAATATTTTCTGGCTTTAAATAACCTGTAAAAGGGTTGATAAGCCATAGAAAATGAATCTACTAACAATCAAATGTAAATAATTAAAAATTTAGTCATCATGCAAAATGGTTTTAAAATATTTCTGGACTGTTAAAGTTTTCTCAACTTTTTTTTCACAATTGTCCCAGTACAATCCCAAATGCTTTTTGGGTCAATGATGAAAAAAGTTAGACTAAAACCATAGTCGTAACTCTATAACTCTCCACACAATCTATAAAATGTCCGCTCTACTAAAGAAATATTTTGTTAACAAAAAAAGTAAAAAAAAAAAAAAAAATGTATGTATTAATCAATGTGACACAGTCATGGTTTAACCCTTTTGAGTCCCTTGGGACATATGCGTCTCACAGATGTTTTCAACATGTCCTGCGGGGCATAACTGTCCCAAAGCGCATTGATATGGGAGAAAGCGAACATAGTGTCCTATTTCTATATTTATAATAATACATTCAATAATATTATTTTTCTAAGTCAGTCATTTAGATATGTCTACTGGAACGAACAATAATATTTTTTGCTGTATACATCAATTAAGCAAATACAGACTTGAAAGGGTTAAAGTGGGTTTAACAGCAATAACTTGGAAAAATTGTCCAAGACAAACACTTCTCCTTTTGATGTCACACCAAGCAATAAACCTAGCCCTCTCCTGAATGAGAGGTACTGCCAAAGAGAAAGGCCTTCTGGGTCTTGGGTGTAATATTTTTTTTTAAACTTCCCTGGCATATGCCAGTTGTTTTGATTTAAAATTGAGACTTAGTAATTTGTTTCCAGATAAGGTTTTAAAATTTTCAGACTCTACTGATTCAAGGTTTATGATAAAAGATATCTGTAGATGATGTCATTTCACCAAAAGATTTGTTTTTGCACACACTGCTTTATTATTCCCTTTACCAACTTCACATCTTTTATTTGCTTTTACAGGTGGATCTGGATACAATTGATGTTAGCAATTTGAATCGGCAATTTCTTTTCCATAAAGAACATGTTGGAAAGTCCAAGGCACAGGTAAATTGGTTCTTTCATCTCTATATCAATCTTTATTCTATATATATATATATATATATATATATATATATATATATAAGGTATGCTTATTTTTGTCATTTAAAAAAAAAATGCAAGATATCTGTTTTGTTAAAAAATTCAATACTTAGTTCCTTAGGAGTTGTCTATGATAGTGATTGTCTTCTTAATTTTGGGATCCTCAGAAGAAAGTAAAAGATGACTCTTTTTATAATTGTTGCTGTTTATTACAGTCATGTATATTCATACATTCATATGGTATGTTAAAACAAAAATATTTACAGTTAGCTCTATTGTTCTGTTGATGGTCCTTGGAATATGTCAGCTGACCTGTAGAAGGACAGAACCGTTCTTGTAAAAGGGGCTACATTCAAGGTGGTTACTTAGAAACTTTAGCATAAACTGAAGCTATGTCTATTGTTTGACTCTCGTGTGAACCACACTTCTGTCTACCTGTCTATTAATTCATTGTGGGTTTTGTCCTACAAGACTTGGATTCAGCATTACATAACACAATCAGGATTGATGTGATGTTTAAATCAACCAAGCTTACAGTTGTTGATTTTTAGATAGAATTTTTTTACACAACCATTAAAATAGCCAAAGAAGACTAATGTGGGAGGTGGGGAACTGTTGTGGAGTAGTTTTCGCAGTGGAGGCTTGTATTTTAATAAGTCGTCCTAAATTAGGTTCGACGTACAAAACATTAGGAACTTGGAAAAATAAGAGTTAATGACGCAGCAATCTAGTTGTGATGGATGGTACTTCAATGTCAGATATCGTCTGACTTGCTCAACACCACTGAGCCGAACTGGCGACCGCTACTGCTACTTATTGTCTATGGGAGAGTCCATTACCATAGAATAGGTATATGGCATGACAGGAACAAAAAGCAATATATTAGCAACCTAATCTTCAGTAATTACTAATTAAATCTATTCTGTTCTTATTGTAGCAGAAGACTTGGTAAGGAGAGAAGTTTTTATTGTGTTTTATATTACAAACTAGATTTATTCTCTTCAATTTAAATTCACTTCAGAAAAGTCCATATGAATCTTTTGTTTTTGAGCCATTCTGAAAAATAAGATCTTAAATTCCATACAGAAAAGCTAGGAGAATGAATAAATAACTTTCATCATGAACTAAGAATTATAAAGAAAAGATCCAGAATAAATAATAATGGCTTTTTAAAAAAATCACTCATTTACATTCTTTTCACAAGAAACGCCAACTTAGCGGAAAAAGTACTAATGGTTTATTATTTAAGCATACATACATTTCTTTCTTTTGTTTTGGGATCTGATGAAGCCTAGAAATGTGTAATCAAATCTAGTTTCAATGAAACAGTTTTCTGTTTCTTCAAAACTTTGTTGGGATTCTATATCCTATTTTGTCTACATTTATTCACTATTGTCTAGCTCTTATTGTCACGTGTATTGCTTCTCTCATTATGTAAGAAAGGGAGACAATTCTGCAGTGGCTTTTGTCTACAGTTCTACTTTCAGTTTATTATTACTTTTTATGAACTAAAAACATTCAGTATCATTTGTACCTTGAGATGGTTTCTTTATAGGAGTTTGCTTCTTCTAAATTTAATTGCACAATTCATAAACCAAAATCATTTTTATATCTCAATCTAGAACAGTATTTCCCTGTCCTTTTTTTTTTCAACCAGCACCCCATTTGAGCACAAACTTTTTTGTCAACACTTCCCTGTCAAATTAAATTTTGAATATTATATTGAATTCATTTTTCATAGCAAGATAACACTTAGGTATTAGTGTAAAAATAATTTCAATATTATTTTCATTTCTATTATAAATTGGGGTCAAAATTTAAAAAATAAAAAATACACTTATATAGTAAAAATACCAGCAATAATTTTTTTGTAAAAAAAAAAAATTACTGGGATTACATTTTTGCAAAATAAATTACTAATGCTCCCAAGAAAATTAAATTTCGGCATTAAATGACCCATAAGGTGTTGATGTGCCACTAAAAAAAAAAAAAAAACAAATTAGTGGTACAATGGGCATTAAAATGTTAAAGGAAAGTTTTTTGAAAGAAACAAAACAAGGAATATGGAGAAAAACTAAATTTCATTAAAGTAACATTTTCAATTTGTTAACAAATGGCAAATTATTCATATCCATCTCTAAGTAATTAATCACAAATAAGAATGAGACAATATCCCTAGACATGATTGATAGAACAAGAACAGTCTACTCTTGTAAATTAAATAAAGTGTTCAGCTCAGAATTCATTGTAGATTACTCAGATCGATATACACCTGAGAAAGGTCAGAGGGCGCAATGGCTAAAATATTGTGATAACAACAACAAAGATGAGGACAATAGTTCAAATGTAAATAATGATAACTTCTCATCTCAGAAATTCAGACAGGTTTATTTGAAAAGTTCCAGGACTAAAAATAAGAACTAGAAGAGATATCCCTTGATATGAACAATGGAATGAGAACAGTTTATCCCTGTAGATTAAATAAAGTGTTCAGGTCAGAATTCACCGTAGATTACTCAGATCGATATACACCTGAGGAAGGCAAGAGGGCACAATGGCCAAAACATTGTGATAACAACAAAAAGATGAGGACAATAGTCTGTGTATAAATAGTGTAAATAATTGCAAAGCTTTTATTCACTATCAGGGTTCTAATATTTCATTATCAAGTCAACAGAAATTTCAAGTTGTTCATCTTTTGCTAAAGCTTCCAGATCCTCAAGGCTTTCTTTTGAAACAACCCAAGCAACCAGTTACTAAACTTAAAACTAACATTATCAAAGAATGTTTACTCTCCCAAACAACATCCAAGTCACATATTCACCGAGGACTGTCTCCATAGGATATCTCATTATTATTTAAAATTGATCTGGTCCACTCAATGATAATGCCTCTATGATTTTTCTGTTACTTCTAAACTCTGTCTTTAGGAGTCAGATGTGCAGGTGGAGTCCTGTATTGCAGCTCAGAATGAGAAAATTTGAGAGCCAAATTCAAATTTCAGTCAGATTAGTTATATTTCCTTCCTCACAGATACCTTTCGCAAAGGGTATGACTGCATCTCCCCTCCAACTATGGGTTAAATAGTAGAACTTGTATCCAGAAAAATAATTATAATTCTCAAACAAATTGTTAAAGAAATATTCAGTCACAAAAAAAAAAGAAAAGAATTATTCTTACTATCCAAGATATATTTTAGCTTTAAATAGCCCACAAAGGGTTGATAAACTGTAAAAAAGAAAAATCATTCCTTCAGGAGTTGCATCCTAAATATTCTTACTGGCACTTCTTAATCTTTTCTTCAGCAGTAATTCTTCCTCATCCACCTGTGCATAGCATTGTTCCTGCTTCTTTTTCCTTTCAGTAAATAGAATTTTATCATCAATGTCCCAATCTTCTGCATCCACAAAAGCAGATCTCTCTGCTGCTATATCACTAGAATTTACCTGCATTCCTTTAATGAAAGTCTTTTAAGAAATATCACCAAGACAAAGCTTGGAGTAAATCTTTGGAGATTTCCTTATCGTGTTTCCTGTTGTCAAAATGAATTTGTGTGTCTTTCCTTTAAAGACTTCTTTGAATGTCATGTCGCAAAGAACAGGTTTATGATTTGCGTAAGTCACTTTACACTAATGTTGAAGGAAAAAGTCCTCCAAAGTTAAATTCCCAGATTTGTCAAGTTTCTTTATCAAATGTCCTGAGTTAGTAAAGTGTATCTAAATATCTTGTATTTTTCTACAGGTGGCCAAAGACAGTGTTTGTCGGTTCAATCCTGATGCTCGTATCCTTGCTCACCATGACAGCATCACCACGTAAGAACATTTTTTTTTATTTAAAATTTTTCAAACTTAGAAACAAAGAAAGGTGTACTGAACTTCTATGTAATATCTGTCCTCCTATATGGCAGTGAATGCTGGACAATCTCCTTGCAGTTGAAGAGACTTGAGGAAACAGAAATGTGGTTCTACAGAAGGATGCTGAGAAACACCATGGACGGAACATATGAGCAATGACAAAGTTTTAGAGAAAATGGAAATAAAAAGAACACTGATACTTTGAATCAGAAAGAGTTGAAATTTCTAGGGCACATAATGAGGAAAAAGGGGCTAGAAAATTTGATACTCACATGACATATTGAAGGCTAGAGGGACAATGAGAACAGCACATAACATAACTAACGAGGTTGTGTAAATGGTTGGCAGGACAGGGATTAGGAGAGATATCAAAAAGACAAAATTTACTAAAAGCTCCAAAGATAGGAAATTGTGAAGAGCTACGATCACCCATGTTCTGAAGGGACACAGCACACAGAAGAAAGAAACAATGACCTTTTATCATTTCACCCCAAGTAGGACTAAAGTGACTAAGATGCAAGGGGTTACTGAGGGTTAGAGAAAAACTACTATTAAGGAAAGATTGAGCAATAAAAGAACAAGAATTGAAAAAACAAGATAATGATTGACATTGCATTTAAATTTTTGAAGATCAAAGTTGACTGGGAAGCAAGAACCTGGAAGAGAATTCCACAAGCGAGAAGTGTGACAGAAGAAACGGTTAGCATTGAATTTATGGTTATATCTAACCATTTCAAATGTAAATTGAATTAGTATGTGTTTTTCCTTTAAAGATTTTCTTTGATATCACGTCGCAAAGAACAGGTTTATGATTTACATGAGCCACTTGAATTTTCAAGTCACTAATGTTAAAGGAAAAAGTCCTCTAAAGTTAAATTCTCAGTTTTGTTAAGTTTCTTTATTAAATATCAATCTGGTACTGTACTTACAGATCACGACATCTATCAGAAAGATGAAATTTAAATTTTTATTATTGCATTATTCCAAAGTTTTAGCACATTAATTAGTTATTAACGACTGAGCACAAATAGTTATTAATTGAAATTGTGTATACTGATTCCATGTATCAGGTCATCCCATAAGTTCTGTCCGAATTTTGAATAAAGAAAACAAGTGACCAAATGTTACATTTAATTACAGATTCAATCAGCAATGTATTTTCCCTGATTATCTATGACTTCCTTCCATCTATTAACAAGCTTACTAATTCCATTACTGTAAAATTCTTTTGGCATTGATTCGAAGAACTCACAAATGTCAGTTTTAACCTCTTCCTGTGTTACAAAAGCTGTTTCTTCCAAATGATTCTGTAAGCTACGAAACAAATGGTAGTCTGAAGGAGCAAGATCGGGAGAATAAGGTGGATGAGGAATTTTCTCCCAACCAAGTTCTTCGATCTTTTGTGACGTGATTCTTGCTGTGTGGGGTTGCGCATTGTCCTGATGAAACATCACCCCTTTTCGATTCATTAGAGCAGGTCTTTTTTTCTTCAAAGCTTGGTTGAAATGCTCTAATTGTTGACAATATATTTGAGCATTAATTGTTGCATTAGGTGGTAAGAATTCAAAGTGGATTATTCCTTGGCGATCCCACCAGATTGAAAGAAGAACCTTTTGCCCATGAAGTTCCCTTCCCTTGGCTATGGCTGGGGACCTTCCCCTTTACCAAGCCACTGTCTACGACGCTTAACATTTCGATAAAAGATCCATTTTTCTTCGCCAGTCACAAGTCTATCCAAAAAAGGTGAAACAAGCTGGCGAGAATGGAGAGAAGAGCAGATGTCAACTCAGGATTTGAGGTTGTTTTCCATTTTCCAAGTTAGGAACTTTTCCAAATTGTTGAAGATGATGATGAACAGTTGTATGGTTTGAACTGAGAACCACTGCCAATTCCTCAACTGATAAAGCAGGATTTTCTTCAAGGGCTGCTTCAAGAAGCTTTTCATCAAACTCAATTGGACGTCCGGTTCGATCTTCATCTTCAAGGGTGAAATATCCACCTCTGAATTTTTCAAACCATCTTCTGCAAGTTCTTTCATTCACACATTCCTCTCCATAAACTGAGTGAATGTTTCTAGCCGCTTCGGCTGCTGAGTTTCCTTTCTTGAACTCATAAAGCATTATGTGCCTCAAATGATTCTTGGGTACTTCCATGTTAGCAGGGTTTTAATGTAACAAAATTTAATTTTATTGTTCTCTGAAATAAAATTTGATCAGTTTAAATGCATCTAAACATAAAAATAATGTTCAGCTCCATTAGACATTATAAAATACTCTTTAAATTTCGTTCATTTTAAAAAAGTTAAAATTCAGACAGAACTTATGGGATGACCTGATAGCTTGGGAAGTATGTGTGTGTATGTACTGATTCCTTGTAATGGGACAATGTGTGTGTGTGTGTGTGTGTGTGTGTGTGTGTACATGTATATGTGTTCACTGATTCCGCGTCATGAGACTGTATGTATGGAGTTCAGATATACACATATATACACGCATGCTGACAAAAGCACACGAAAATGGAAATAGATCTAAGAACACACAGGAGTCATTAAAAGTAAGCATGCCGATAACTACTCCATTTCTTGGACCAGTCTTCATTGTTTTATAACCCTTCATGCAGAACTTTTCACTGCCAGTTCAAGAAAGACATTTGGATCACTAACAAAAAAAGAGAATGTCTCATATCAAGAATATTTAACATCGAAAAACATAAAGAAAAAAAATTAATTACTTTTAATAATATGTGGAAATCTCTACCCTTTGCCTGATGGTGGTCTCAAGACTGGAAACACGTATAGCAGAATTATGGAAAATGAAGCATAATATTTTTTTTTCTGTTTCCACATTACAACCAAAAACCTTTGTGGTTTCTCTCTTTTTTTTTATTTATATATATATATATATATATATATATATATATATATATATAACCCTAAAGAAGCTGGAAAAATGGTTGGATCACTCCAGAAAGTATCTGACTCCTGCTATATTTGATTTTTGCAAGAGTCAGATTAGAACAAAAATATAGCATTTCAACCATATCTGGACTGTAGCTACTCAATCTGCATTTTCTAACCTTGATACAAGTAATCCATAATAATATTTTAAATTTTGAAATCACATTTATTTTTGGCATGTGAATTTTTTGAGAACTGTTTCTAAATCTTTGTCTTTCAATCATTCCACTGCACCTGCTACCCTCTTTCACTGTACCTATAAGGTGTGCCTCACCGTTTGGGAACTGGTATAAATGATAAAACTGGATTTTCTTGATCTTACATGTTCTAATTTTCAGGCTTTCAAGTGGCCACACAAAATTTTGAGCTTTATATATTAATGGATTAGTAAATCTATAACCTGAAATTTGTAGTTAATTCTTCTCATTCTCTATATATCATTGAGCTCATGGGAACCTCTAGGCGGTGTAATGGTTAGCTTGCTAGGACAGTTATGACTAAGTAGTGAGTTTGATCCTCACTGGGTGTCCCATACTTTCGGCCTTGTGCCACATCTAAGTTATGCTTGGAAAATCACTATTTCATTGAGCTCGTTTTGATGCCACATCTAAGTATGTGCTAATAGGAGTTTCTGTGGGAATTTTCGGTCAACAATCGGTCCCCCAGCCACATGTATACACACTTAGTATGATCTGATTTGAATTCAAAGTTTCCTTCTAGACTGGTTGCCACCCAATGCTATAGGAACCAGTCTGTCCTTTTATTTACAGGGAGTAGAGATGGATTTATGCTTTTCCTAAGGGTATTAGCACCTAAGTGAATGTAATGAACACAACTGGAATTTGAACTTGGCTCTCCAATTCCTCAACCCAAGCCGCTAACCAGTACTCCACCTTGCCTTCATAGCCTGAAAGTAATTAGCAAAATTCTGATTTTAAATTTTCACTGTATAATGTTTGATCTATGTAATTAATGGAAAAGTTTTGGATGAAGTGTATTGATGAAGAAAAAGACTGTAAAAAATATATATTGTCGATTTTTGTTTCTTAATTTTTTTCTTTTTTGTTCTCCATCTTTTCTCTTTTTTCCCTTTTTTGTTCTTTCTTTTTTCTCTTTTTTTCTCTTGTTCTTTTTCCCCCCTTTTTTTCCTTTTTTTGTTCTCCTTCTTTTCTCTTTTTTCCCTTTTTTTCTCTTTCTTTGTTCTCTTTTTTCTCTTGTTCTTTTTTCCCCCCTTTTTTTCCTTTTTTTGTTCTCCTTTTCTCTTTTTTCCCTTTTTTTTCTCTTTCTTTGTTCTCTTTTTTCTCTTGTTCTCCTCCCCCCTTTTTTCCCTTTTTTGTTCTTTCTTTGTTCTCTTTTTTTCTCTTGTTCTTTCCCCTCCCTTTTTTCCTTTTTTTTGTTCTCCTTTTCTCTTTTTTCCCTTTTTTTGTTCTCTTTCTTTGTTCTTTCTCGCTCCCTTTTTTTCCTTTTTTTTTGTTCTCCTTCTTTTCTCTTTTTTCCCTTTTTTGTTCTCTTTCTTTGTTCTCTTTTTTTCTCTTGTTCTTTTTTCCCCCCTTTTTTTTTTTTTTTGTTCTCTTTTTCCCTTTTTTGTTCTCTTTCTTTGTTCTTTCTCCTCCCTTTTTTTTTTTTTTTTTTTTTCTCCTTCTTTTCTTTTTTTTTTTTTTGTTCTCTTTCTTTTTTTCTTTTTTTTTCTTGTTCTTTTTTTCCCCCCCTTTTTTTTTTTTTTTGTTCTCCTTTTCTCTTTTTTCCCTTTTTTTTTCTCTTTCTTTCTTTTCTTTGTTTTCCCCCCTTTTTTTTTTTTTTTGTTCTTCTTTTCTCTTTTTTTCTCGTTCTTTTTTTCCTTACTTTTTTCTCTAATTTGATTCTCTTATTTATTCTCTTTTTGTTTTTGATTCTCTTTCTTTTCTTTTTCCTTTGGTTCTCCTTTTTTTCTTTAAAGTCAGACTGTTTTTTTTTTAAATATTACCCTTATATTTCAATTACAATACCACTGGTGCCAATAGGAAATACACTGCATAATTAACTAAGTATTTTCTTCTCTTTTTCAGCACAGATTACGACACTGAATTCTTTAAGAAGTTTGACATTGTTATGAATGCTCTTGACAATAGAGGTAAATGTTATTGTCTCTTTTTTCAATTTATAATCTTCAGGGATTTTCCCTTCGAGATGTTAAAAAAACACATTAACATTGCCTTGTCAGCCATGACTATCTTATATCTATTAGAATAGTCATTAAAATTGAACATTTAATCTATTACTTATATTTATAATAAATTGCAAATAGGAAACATGTAAAGAAATGTAGAGAGCGATAAGTAGTTTTTTTACACTATTTTCTCTCGGACTATTGCCCTCATCTTTGTTAAAACATTTCAACTATTGTACCTACTGGCCTTTATCAGATACATGTCTGTCTGGGTAACCTTCAGAAAATTTCAAACAATCCTTTATTTAATCTACATGGGAATCAAAACAATCTATAGCTATAGATTAAATAAAGTCGAAGTCTGCACTACCCAGCCCAGGGATTGAACTCGCAATTACTATGTCATCAAATTCATGAACTAATTCATTAATCCACTAGGCTGTTCTCCCATGGGACAGTCCTGAGTCTAGAACTTGGATCTTTAAACTTGCTTGCTGTTAACATTGCTCATTGTCATGCTTAACTGCATTTATTGAGGCTCAGACTAATTGGGAACAACACAAGCAATAATTGAGCACTGCTAAATAAAAACAAAATAAGATATGGACAATCTACTCTGTAGATTAAATAAAGGGTTCAGTTCAAAATTTCTTAGCCTCTTATCAGAACACTGGAGTTTTGAGGAGCATGAAACCACCTTTTAATTGCTATTGTTCCCAGCTCCATGATGACCTGGGGTGGTAGAACCTGTTAGGGTCCCAGATATGGGCAAATAGAGAATCCCCAAACAAAAATCAACAGTACATTTTTATAGTAAAATGATAACCAATTCATTTTTATAGTAAAATTACTAACAATACATTGTATGATCTACAAAATATATATCTAAAAAACATACCTTTACTCTGAAATTATAAAATTATATACAAAATATCTGTAGTTGAAAGCATAAGCTTACATACAGAATATTTAGATTTCGGCATTAAATGACCTATAAATTTTGATTTGCTGCCAAACAAATCAAAAATCAATTTCCTGAATATTATCTGGATTGATGGGCACCTGATGAAGGCTTTTTTTACACAACAGTCGAAATATGATAATAACAAAGATGAGGTAATCCATTTCATCCTAGAATTTCAGGCAGATAATTAGTTAATGAGAAAAGTAAATAAAACTGATAGATGTGCAGTAAGTCATTTTCAGGTAGAAGTATTCTAAGAATAGTTTGAATATGTTACAATATTAATTGCATTTTGTTAATTTTTCTTTCTTTTTTTTTCTAAGGTATTTTCATCCTTTATCTTAAAAGTGATGAGCAAGACATTTGGAGAAATGTTTTCCTTCCTTTATAAATATTGAATATTTTCCTGTATAATTCCTTAATGTTTCTTTCTTTCTTTTTTTACATTTTCCCACCACCTCTAGCGGCCCGTAATCATGTGAATCGTCTTTGTCTGGCTGCTGATGTCCCTCTGATTGAAAGTGGCACTGCAGGTTACCTAGGACAAGTAACCGTCATTAAAAAGGTTAGTATAAAATAAATGACCATGTTTATTTATCTATGAATTTATCCATAGGGTCAAAAAATAACAGCTATCATATTATAATTCTATGTCCCCCCGCCAATGTTACACTGCCATTCCTTCAAATAAATAATGAACTATTCCAATTTGATTGCAAACAAAGATGGAAGAAGGTCTGTCAGAGATTCTGTCTGGTTTTACTGAGAAGAATTGAACGATTAATTGATTGATTTTTTTTTGGGGGGGTTGATAGATATTAGATCAGGAATGACCAAACTTGCTTAATGTAAGAGCCACATATGATAAAGTTCAGATGTTTGAGATCCGCAAGACATGAACAAAATTTGCGCATACATTTTTGTTACATACACATGTGACCACTCTCACTCTGCAGCCAAATCTTTAATTCTCTTACCCATGGCCTCAGTCTTCTGACATTTTTTTTTCAGTAACCCTTGCTGAGCAGAAATTTTTTTAATCCCTCTGCCTCCCACTATTCAAAAAAACACAGCACCAAAGACCAACACCTCACCCCAGGTCTAGCATTAAAATTAAGATTTAAATTCTTAAATATTTTTAATAACCACTAGCAGTAGAGCCCAGCATTGCCCGGGGATGTAACAGTAAGAGATAGATCAAGTATCGACCATCATAAAGACTGAAAAATAAAATTGACAGAGATTATTGTTTAAGGTTGACGTATACGCATGTCTTAATTAGTCTTCTTTTTTTTTTTTTTTTTTTACGAATTGGTCAAACTCAAATAAAAACATTGTTTTCAATCGTTATGAGTCTACCAATTGAATAGAATTTTATTATAAACAATTATCTTGTAAATGGAATTTTTAAAGCATTCTGAATGTAAAAAATAAAGAAAAAAAGTGTAAAAGACAATAAGAAACACTACCTGCCAAAAAAAAAAAGTGAAGTTTGTTGAAAATGTAGGAAATCCTATCCCATATATAAAGGAACACACACACACAACCTGGGTTTTATAATAAGTATAACTCGATATGAGTTGTCCCCCTTTCATCATTTTTAAGCGATGCCTCTTAATCTGTTTTTTCAATTGATTTTGTGCAAAAACAATTGTGTTTTTTAAAAATTTTGGTGCTGTCAGAACCACCAACAAAGGTAATTTTACGTAGTCCTGTGAAAGTTTTGTTGAAATCGGTTGAAAAATGTAGGAAATCCGATCCAATATATAAACGTACAGACACACACACACACACACACACACACACACACAACCTGGGTTTTATAATAAGTATGATGAACATTAAACTAATTTAATCTAATTGGGTCTCAATTTATACCCAATAAATAATTATAAAGCTTGAAATTTTTTCTTATTTACCTTATTAAATTAACTGTGAAGAAAAAAAGGAGCTTGGCCAACATATTTCCATGAGCCACATGTTAAAGGTCAAAGAGTTGCATTCGTCTCGTAAGCCGTGGTTTTGGCTACCCCTGTATTAGATGAGAGACCACTTAGGGGAAACCAGGTACTGTAAGGAACCTTCTGCACTCCAAAATATGTTTTGCACCAGTTCTCGTATGATCACTGAAGTTAAGCAATATAGAGTCTGGTCAGTACCTAGATGAGTGACTACTTGGGAATACTAGGTGCTGTAAATTTGGATGTGTGGGTAGTGTAATGTCTAATGGCTTGAAATTGTTAATTGGAGAGCCAAGTTCCAATTCCAGCTGGGTTTGTTGTATTCCTTTAAGTGCAAATATCCCACGAAAAGGTATGAATCCACCTATTCCCCTCAGCTATGGGTTAATTAGTAAGTCACTGAACCATTATTATTTCCAAAAATAAAATAAAATTGTGTACAAAATATTTAGATTTTGGCTTTAAATAACCTGCAAATGGTTGATATGTCGCTAAACAAATACAACCAACCACCTAAAGTATATTTAATGTTTTTTTTTTTTTGTGATGTTAACGAACACTCGTTGGTGACTTTTGTAATGTCGACGAATACTCATCACATTTGTAATGCTTGTTGTAGTTGAGACTTTGTATAGTAATGCTGTTGAACAATATTGGTGTCAGACGCCTTCGAATAACATTCGCACTAATAGCACTTACTCGATAATACTCACTTGAATAGTAACCACTGAATAGTAACCTGTATAGTGATCACTTAGATGCCATACTAATTCCAATATATACATTTCCTTTACCATCACGTGATCTACTTATTCAAAATGGGATCGCCTGTGTTTGCTCTCTGGTGATCTGTGTTCAAACTCCAGTGTTGGCAGCAACACTTATTCCTATATAACAATTTTTAAATAACTCACAAAGAGTTGTTAAACCATAAAGAACAAATAAATCGATCCTAAAAATTTATGCATTTACAACACTTTTCTCCTTTTTGTGTTCAGGGATTAACAGAATGTTATGAGTGCCAGCCAAAGCCGACACAAAAGACCTTCCCAGGATGCACCATTAGGAATACACCTTCTGAACCAATTCATTGTGTTGTTTGGGCAAAACATCTCTTCAAGTAAGTTATGGAAATTTTTTTATTTTTCTTTATTCAGTAAAAAGACGATTAATACAAGGTGTCCATAAAGTTCGTGTGCACTTTAAAAAATTTATAACTTTATTTGTATTTGTGATAGAAATAATTTGTAAAAAGGATTAGAAAGAAGTAAATGTATATTTTTTAAGGTTTTATTGAAATTTTATTTAAGTTTCCACATGTCCTCCATCATTAGCAATACAAAGGATAATATGATTTTGCAGTTCACAGAAAACATTTGCTAACTGATTTACAGTAATGCTTGAAATCACATTAGTTATTTTAGCTATACTTAAAACTCGGTACATTAAACTTTATAACATTTTTTTACAGATTATTTCTATCACAAATACAAATAAAGTTATAAATTTTTTTAAAGTGCACACGAACTTTATGGACACCCTGTATGTACAAATATTAGGCCTTTTTTGGGTTTTTTTATTCCGTATATTTTTTACTTATGTTTTTGTTTATTCTCAATGTGCTCTTCAGCTATTTTCATTGTACAGGGTGAGACAAAAGTCGCACACCATAGGGATAATTTATTACAAGTATAATTGTACATGAAAATTTTATTTACTAGTTATTTAATTGTTCTCTGTGTTGTTCAAAATGTCCTCCTCCTTTTTCAAAACACATTTCAATTCTGTACCTGCATGATTCATTAACTGGTCAGAGAGTTTCCTCTGCCATTTTACTGCATTCATATTTAATTCTTTCTTTAAGTTCCTCAATATTTCTTGAGCATTTCTAATAAACAACTGATTTCAGATGGCTCCACAAAAAAAAATCCCAGGGTGGAGACCTCAGTGGCCACCCCAACAGGCCTCTTTAACCTATCCATTAACCCCCTATGGTGCACGATTTTTGACTCGGCCTGTGTATTGTATTCAATAATGATTAGAATTTTCTAAGTGTGTTTTGTTTATTTATCTTAACTAGAGTTTCAGAGATTAACAGAATCACAAGACTGAGTGTTAAGTCTTGTTAGTAATTTCAAAAGAGCTTACAAAGAAAAAGTCTCATTGAATTGTACAAAGGGGATTTTGACACGGCTCCGAAGCCTCATTTCACTTGTTCCCAGAGTCCCAACAATATATCTTAAACTAGCAGTAGAGCCCGGTGTTGCCTGGGGATGTAACAGTAAGAGATAGATCAAGTATCGACCATCATAAAGACTGAAAAATAAAATTGACAAAGATTATTGTTTAAGGTTGAATATCACGCATGTCTTAATTAATTTTTTTTTTTTTTTTTACTGTTGGTCAAACCCAAACTCAAACAAAACATTGTTTTCAATCGTTATGAGTCTACCGATTGAATAGAATTTTATTATAAACAATTGTCTTGTAAATGGAATTTTTAAAGCATTCTGAATGTAAAAATAAAGAAAAAGTGTGCAAGACAATAAGAAACACTACCTGCCAAAAAAAAAAAAGGTGAAGTTTTGTTGAAATTGGTTGAAAAATGTAGGAAATCTGATCCCATATATAAAAAACACACACACACACACAAAACAACCTGGGTTTTATAAGTATAACTCAATATGAGTTGTCCCCCTTTCATTCTTGCGATGCCTCTTAATTGTGTTTTCAAATTGATTTCATGCAAAAAACAATTGTGTTTTTTATCCAATTTTTGGTGCTGTCAGAACCACATAAAGGTAATTTTAAATAGTCCTGTGAAGTTTTTTGTTGAAATTAGGTTGAAAAATGTAGGAAATCCAATCCAATATATAAACGTACACACACATTTGAATCCTGGGTTTTATAATAAGTATGATGAGGAAAACAGTGAGTGCAAAGGAATCTGATAAAAAAACAAAGCAAAAAGATGTTGCTTAAGACCACCGATTGTATGAGAACCATTGTTTTTAAGAGAAAAACTAAAACAATGTGGAAAAGTTTTCGAGTAACATTGTCTCTTAACGTGTTGTCTCCCAAACCTCATTTCCGTTGTTGTTGTTGTTGTTGTTGTCGTCCCAGGTTCCTGACATTATATCTTAAAAATCCTGTTATAATGAAATGAGGAAAACAATTAGTGCAAAAGAAGCTGACAAAAAAAGAATAAAGTTAATCCATTTTGTGCTGAATGTGAAGATAATCCTTTCTTTTGCCTTGAGTGTTTCAAATAAAAATAAGACATTATTTGGACTATTGTCCTCATCTTTGTCGCCATATTTATCACAACATTTAGGCCTTCTTCAGGTGGTTGGAATGTCAAACTGAACCCTTTATTTCGCTCACCGGGGTAGACTGTTCTAGTTCCACGTGCCATGTCTAATGGATGTCAGTTAACAGTTATCTCCTGTTAAAGTTCTCCACTGCCTTAACCGGGTATTGAACTCACACTCTTTGGGTCCTGTCACTGGATCTAACCAACACCTTTATCCACTGTGCCATGTCATCTGGGTATGAATTTCTGGGTATTATAAACCTAATGTCTTCAGCAACCATTTTTACCAGTGCTCATATTGCAATTTTGCTGTTATCATTGCATGTCTTTGCCAGAGCTCATATTGCAACTATGTTGTTATCATTGCTTTTCTCTGGCACTCGTTATTACTGGTTCCCATATTGTATTTATTTCTATGCTTGGTCGGCTCAGGAGATTTTTGTGGCCTAGCATATGTGCTGATTCCTTAAGTTTATGAATTTTCCAATGGTGTTCCTTGTCAATGATCTCAGAAATATAGACACTCAAAAAAATAAGAATCAGTTTAACTTTTGCTAGTCGTGTAGCAATATGTGCTTTTATGATTTTTCTTTTATATCTTTTCAAGAAATCAGACATTAGGAATATGTTTTTTTTTTTATTTATAAGGAACGTGATTTCTGTTAGGTTAGAATTTTTGTTTATTTTACTGGTTTTAGGCATTATTTTGGTTTCTTAAGTAAATAAAGTATACATTTTTTTTTTTTAATTTCATGTTTTGCCAATTAAAATTTTCTGTTGACTTAGTCTCTAAGTTTATCTGGATGCATGATATGGCTTTGTGTATGTAAAAATAAAAATGAGACTAAAAAAAAAAAAACAGAAGTTCCAAAAATAGAACAAAAGACAAAAAAATTTAAAAAAAAAAAATTTTTTTAAATATTTACATTTTTTTTGGAAAAAAATGTTTTTCTGGTGTACCATGATCTCATAAATAATCAATCATAGCATCCTACGCCCAATAATTCTTATAGTAAAGAAATTGGAAAATGACCCACCGGAGGGTTGTGTGGGCCTTGCAGACATACCTCCACAATCTTCTGATGGGTTGTGTGGGAGGCAACATGCTAAAAATTTATTTTTAGTTATTCTTTTTTCTTTTCTCTCAGAAATAAAAAGAAAAAGAAGAAAAAAAAACAACCTATTTTTGGAGAATTAACATGCCTTTTTGAATTAGTTGACATGATTGATCCATTGTCTCCCAAGCCTCATTTCCCTTGACGTCCCAGGGTCCCAACACTATATCTTAATTAATTTTGATACAAGCAACTTTGTTTTAACATTGTTTTATATATGAGGCAAGGAGATCATAGCTAGTATTTATTACCCACAACCCACCAGTGTGTCATTCAGTACCTAAGTACATTTTACAACCCAGACTCCCATATGAATGCATGGTACAATTCTGTGTATGTAAAATTTAAAAAAAAAAAAAAATGTCCAAAAAAAAAAAAAAAAAACAACAGTAGAAATTCTAAATGGAAAACAAAATAAAAGACAAAAAAAATAAAAAAATATTTAAATATTTTTCGAAAAAAAATGTGTTTCCGGTGTACCATGATCTCATAAATAATCAATCATAACATCCTACTCCCAATAATTCTTATAGTAAAGAAATTGGAAAACGATCCAATGGAGACCAATGTGTTTTTAAAAAAATTGAAAAATTCCATTAAGCCAAATATGTTTAATATATTAACATTAACAATACACATTTTTAGAAACTCTTAAAGTTTATTACAGCAACATAATCTAAACATTGTATATTTGATAATGAAGGGAGCTTTGTATGCACCCAGTTTTCTATTGTTAGTTAGGCAAGATGTTTACAGATACTCTAGAGAAGATTTATCTGGACATTATTTTTATTTACAAATGTCAAGTTTGAAACTGCCCACATGATTGATAACTGCCTACTACTACAAATTGGGAAAATTAAATAAAAACAAAGTACAGATAACTCTTTAAAAAGTCAGGGATTGATTTCACTCTTATTTTTATTATGAACATGACACCCCCTCTAAAACTGTTGATTCCAATCTAGTAGGGGATGACTATAAAACACTTGCCTTTCCCCAATTTATAGGCAGAAGCACACAAATGCATGCTGGGATATTTTCCAAGCAAATAAAGTAAGCCAGTTCTCAGTTTCATCTGACTTAGTCCCAGTCTGTCTTGTCTTGCTATGTTCTCTTGTCCAAACTTTCATTTGTGTGTCAATTCCGATTCTTAGTTGACTTTTTGCCATATTACTGTTAATTTGCCTTGTATATATTGTTTGCTTGCTTCATATTATTTTTTGCCCTGTTCTTTTCTTTTTCTTGTTATTGTTTATTGCAAAGTTTGTCAACTGTTACTTATTTTTACATTTGATGATGGCTACTCACTCCACAATATTTTTTTTATCCTGACAAATGCTGTATGTAAAGAAAGGTCTAATGAATTTTAACATTCAAAAACGATTACAAAAGAAATCTTCCCTTTTTAAGATGAATGAGCCAATTAATTCAAGTAGTGCCATTTGATTTAATAGATATTTTTTCTTTTTTTAATTTAACATTAATTTACTTAGTTTCATTAAGCAAGATGCAGTTAAAAATAGAAGAACAGTAGAACCTTGGTTATCAGCCATAATCTGTTCCGGAAAGTTGGCTAAAAACCAAAATGCATGAAAACCAAGGTAATATTGCCATAAGATATAATATAAATCCAATTAATCCGTTCCACACACTCAAAAATATTAACAAAAAAATTAATTCTCTACAGAATAACAATAGTTTTACATGCAGAAAACAATAAGAAATAAATATAAATGAAAAATATAATGATTGAACATTTAACTTCACTTTACATTTATTAAAGACTTATAAAAAATATAGTTTATCTCCCCTTGGTTGATAACACCTGCTGATAGAAAGATGGGTCCATTTATCTGATAATAATGGGTAGGAATCAAAATTAGGCACCAAAGCCAAGAGGCTCTGATAACCATGAATGGAACAGATGTGTTTAAGCCTGCTCCAAAAACAGGCAATGCTGGCCATGAGCAAACCTGAATAATGCATTTTTTTATCAGAAAAAGAATATGAGCAGCATCAGATAAGTGTTTCAATCAATTTCAAATACGCATGTATTTGGATTTTGTCAATGATGCCATGAATTTTAACTACTAAAAGAGTGTTTTTAGTAATTATTCTCGTTGTATAATGTATTTCTTATATAAAGTATGTTTTTTAAACTGTTCAATAATCTCATCTTTCTTCATCAGCTACAACTCAATTTGTGGAGTCGCTAAATTTCCCACAGACTCTTGTTGGTGTATGTAAGATGTTGAGGAGGGGGAAGGAGGAGAGGTATTATTGTTTGAAAGGGGAATCTGCCCCCTTCATAAAGACTTCAGGTTAAGTCTTAGTGGGGGTAATTTCCCTTTTTTGTCTCTTTTTGCTTGGGGAAAGTCACACAGCAACAGCAAGTGAACAGGAATGTACAGATTCAGAGTGAACGGATTTCCTTGCTTGATGACCAAGGAGATGTACAATTTCTGAGATGCATTTTCACCAGAAAGGTGAACGGCAACCAAATTGTACAATAACTGAGGTGCTCAAAACCTGAGCTTCCACTGTACAATAAAATTGAGTTTTGCAGTCTTCCTTTTATATATTTCATGACTGGGCAATCAAATTGTAGGTGTTTTGTACTTGCAAATGAAATTTCTTGTCAGACTATGCCTGTTGTTTTTTTTTTAAATTTTTTCCAGTCATTTATTTGGCGAAGAAGATCCTGATCACTTAATGTGCAAGAAAATGAATTCTCAATGTTTAGATGACAAGTTTATTGACCTATTTCATAACAACAGCTTAAGAAGCATTCTCAAGATTAAATGGTAAAACCACATGAAGTCAGAACTGTTCCAAGAAGATGGCAGTTTACTGGCTATACTTTAAGGAAAGTTCCTGTGGGGAAAATTGTGAAAATGGCCTACCTTGGAAACGTCCGCGAATCTGTATGACGTGCAAACTCTGGTTGCTCAATGGTATAAAGAACCAAAATGGTGGCGCCCATGTTTTATGCCAGGCGGTCTCAAACTGTTAACACAAAATCTCGTTGTCTCATCATTCACATGCAAATTGTGGTTGGTCCTTGGCTGTATAAAGCAGGCACATTTTTGTTTCTGAGGGACTGGGTTTTTTGCTCGTGAGAAGGTTGGACGTGTGACACTGTTTTGTTGGTTACCCTCCTCACGTTTTTCCTATCTGCTCCTATCAGTTGAGTCATTGCTTTACCCCCACAGTTCCAAACAGCAACTGCAACATGACCCTGAGCTGGGTCCCCAAAGGAAAAGGAGAAAACCAAGAATGATTTGTTAACAGACTATGGAAAAGAAGATAGAAGCAGTAGACTGACAATGCTAGGGGTGAAGTGCAAGCAGCAGCAGCAGCAGCAGAGAACAGTGTACAGTTGTGACATTCTGTTGAGGTCTTATGTGCCATGTCATGTGGCATCAGGCAGATGTTTTATGAATAGGTCTTTGATGTATTCTTTGGCAAGTAAACTTATAGGAGTTTTATAGATATTAATGACTGTGCAGGTAGTGTAATGGATAATGAGAAATTGGTGAGCCAAGTTTGAATTCCAGTCAGATTAATTACATTCACTTACATAGGAATATAAAGGTATGAATCCATCTCCTCCCCCAGCTATGGGTTAAATAGAAAGACATGTATCTGGAAAAATCAAGGTTATTTAAAAATATGTTTTGTCTTTAAATAAAAAAAAAACAAAAAAAAAAATCAATTTTTTTTTTTATTTCCCATGTTTTGTCTTTAAATAAAAAACTCAAATCAAATTGTTTTTTTATTTTTTTATTTTCCAGTCAGTTATTTGGTGAAGAAGATCCTGATCAGGATGTCTCCCCAGATACAGAAGATCCAGAATTGGCTGGTAAGTATTTTTGCTATTAACCTTAATCTTTATTTCTGCAGTGTGGTTTTACCGTCATAATTTGGTATTTATTTACCTTTTTGTTGTCAGATGTTCAGTGTTTCAGTTGGTTTTCATAACAATCTTTGTGTATTCCCTTGTGGGGCCTAAAATAGATGCTCTCTTCTAAAGGTGCCACTCCCCTGCCCCACCAAGCAAAAAATATAAACTATCTCTATTTACTTAGTCCAAAACTGAGGAATTCCATTAATAAGGAGGAAGTTCTACTCAGACTGCCTTTTCCCCCCACAAACTATTACTTTGTGGAATAGACTCTAATGAGGATGCTGACCTAATTACTACAATCTTAATTTCAAGTCTTAGATCAACTGTTATATATCCTACATAACCCCATAATCTACAATACTGATTTCCTCCATATAAAAACCTTGTTCAGTAAGCCTCTACTTTGAGTGGATCTGGACCTTGAATGCATTTTTTTAATTTAAAAATAAATGCTTAGTCTCAAATATAAAACAATATTTACCTGTTCTCAAATTGCAGGTACATTTATGGATTTTAATAGAAACCAATATTTACCTGGACTGAGGAAATGCTTGTAGACTCAAATATAAATGACCAATATTTACCTGTTTCCCAAACCAAGAAAATGCTTACAAACATAAATATAAACAACCTGGAGAGAATTGGTCTCTGTCAGGCTGTTTTGCCCAGGAAACACCACATGTGGTGCCCTTGCGAATCTATGCTTACAGACTCAAATATAATTTACTAATATTTGCCTTGTTCCCGAACTGAGGCAATGTTTACAGACTTAAATATAGTTAACCAATATTTGCCTTGTCATTGAACTGAGGCAACACTTAACAATTCAAATATAAATGATCTATATTCACTTTTCTTGTAAACTCAAATATCAAACAACAAAAAAAAAAACAGCCAACCCAACTCAACCAAATCTTTTGTCCATTGAAAGATTGAAATGAAATATGGGCATTTTCTTACTTTTTCTCTTTCAGAGAAAAAAAATTGTTATTGCAATACTAAGAACAGAAATTACTCATTAGCACTTTTTTATTATTCTAAAGCATTTTTTTTTACCCTTCCACTGTACATGGTAGGTCCCCAAACATCACTAGCTTATTTCACAATTTTAGTCAAGGTCTTTCAGCTGTTGCCATAGTAGGATATGACAACACAATCAAGAAATTTGGATATATTGTTGAGCAATTGGAGTCACCTGCTGTGATAAAACAAACATTTTGCTGAAGAAACAGTTGCTTAAAGAATTCTAAAATAGTAAAAATTTATCTTCCTATAAAGTTATTTAGTCTTTACCGCTATTTATTTTGTGTCTCTTTTATTACCAGGTGAGGCAGGTGAGGCTGCTTTGAATTCTGCCTCTAAAGGTGATGCCCATGGGGGCATTGAGCGTAAATCCACTCGAGCATGGGCACGTGACACTGGATACAATCCTCAGAAACTTTTCGCCAAGGTGTGTATTATTTTTGGTAAATTATAGAAAATCTTATACAATTTATTCAAAGTATGTAGGTTTTTTTATTTTAATTGTATGGATGATTTGAATTTATATTCATAAAGCTATTATTTTATGTGTCTGTATTATGATTCAATTTCTGTTTGTGGCTGTTGCAGCAAAAGTGGCACATTGTAGCAAGATTTTTGTCTGGGCAGTACTTTTAAAAAATAAAACACTTTCCAGTATTTGTAATGATGTCTGTGTTTGTGCTTATCCCAATAATAATAAAAAAATAAAAATATAAAAACTTATTTTTATTAAAAAAAAAATAATAGTTCAATAACATAATAATTATTTTATGTCAAAATTATTATTATTATTACTACTACTACTACTACTACTACTCCCCCCTCCCCAAAATGAGAATGGTTTAGCCTGAGACTCGTGCTGAATAGAGCAATGCTTCTCAACATTTTTTTTTAATTCAGAGCATACCTGTAGATTATCTAAAATTCTGGTGTGTACTTCAAATTCATAATGTTTCAGCCGTTGTATGCTCTGACCTTCTTCAGTAGATATTAGTTGGAATTTTGAACTGAACCCTTTATTTAGTCACCAGGGGTAGATTGTTCTAATTCCATGTGCCATGCCTTTGGATATTTCAGTTTCATGCAATTCTCTTTGGTAACTCAACTCTCCAAATTTTTGTTCACTTCTGCTGTGACTGGGTATTGAACTCACAACTCTTTGGATCAAGTTACTTTTGGATCACTCAGCCGACACTTTTATCCACTGAGCCATGTCTCCTTGCCATGGTACGTGGAATTAAAACAATCTACACCATGGACTAAATAAAAGGTTGAGTTTGAAATTCCAACTAATATCACCTGAAGAAGACCGGAGCGTACATTGTTATGAATATGGCAATAACAATTAGGACAACAGCCTGAACAATGTAAATAATGTAATTATCTATGTACTAATTTCCATTAATATCTATCCTAGTTCATTTGACAAATGATCCACGTTCAGTTACAGAAAGAATATATTACATTTTAAATCAAATGTGAACGAATCATTCGAGTGATGTCCTTGTTTATTTATTTTATCAACAAACAACAAATTCTTTTTGCTGTTTGAAAATTGTTACGGGTTTTGGTTGGTTGCAATATCTTTTCTTTCATGTGAGAATTGAGGTGTATTGTTTTAGATTGTTATGTGTCAGGGATACAGGATGTGTACCTAATGATTATTTTTTTTTCCTCCAGTTGTTTCATGATGACATCAAATACCTTCTTGCTATATCTTTTCTTTCATGTGAGAATTGAGGTGTATTGTTTTAGATTGTTATGTGTCAGGGATACAGGATGTGTACCTAATGATTATTTTTTTTTCCTCCAGTTGTTTCATGATGACATCAAATACCTTCTTGCTATATCTTTTCTTTCATGTGAGAATTGAGGTGTATTGTTTTAGATTGTTATGTGTCAGGGATACAGGATGTGTACCTAATGATTATTTTTTTTTCCTCCAGTTGTTTCATGATGACATCAAATACCTTCTTTCAATGGAGAAGCTTTGGGAAAAGAGGAAACGTCCAAATCCTTTGGACTTCAACAATCTTCCAACATCAGGTCAGTTAAGAAAACAAATTCATTTTTTTTCTGTTTTTCCCTGTGTCATTTTCAGTAGCAATTGAAAATGTTATAGGATTTTCTATTTATTTTATTTATTTTTTTTTTAATTTATTTTATAAACAATATCCTCACGCACAAGAATTAACACTAGGATGACCAGCTCTTTTGACATCTTTACTTACATTACGCCGTGAAGCAGCCATCTTTAATATATTCAATATTCAAGTCAGGAATAACAAGTCTGAAAAGAAATTCACAAATATTAGTATACCTCATACTGAAAGAAAGTGATTTTATATATATATATATATATATATATATATATATGTATGTATGTATGTTATATCTCGTACAAGATATAATAAACAAAGTAAACCCGAGTGTGGTTTTCAATAATAATTTTATAATCGGATGTAGGTATGTCAAAATACAGAGACAGAGTCAGGAGTAAGCTAACCGAGATGGTGTTAGTAAACGAAGACCTTCTTTTGTACTTCTAAATTTACTGTTTCTGTGGTCGTATTTTTATCGGCCACCAGACCGTCGATTATCGTGAATGGGGAAGTTGGGTTATCTCATCACAACAATATAAAATGTGTGTTTGTGTATAGATAGAGAGATAGGGGACATAAACACAAGTATTATTGCTTGTGAGAAATTTTTCAATGCATTTACCCTATAAATAGTCTAGGTGTCAAAAACAACACCTTGGCCATTCAAGGTAAAACCTCAAATATCAGCTTATTCCACTGAATATTTTTTAAAGAATTAAGTCTTTTAAGCATCTTTGCTAAAATTCAATAATTGTCCATAAGCCTCAGCATTGAACCAAAACTAGTTATTCCATAGGAATTTGTTGAAAATTTGAAGGTGTCAAAAACAACACCTTGGCCATTCTAGTGTTAACAGTTTTGAAGAGATTTCTTTGCTGCTAAACCCAGAAAGAATGGTATCTGTTGACCAAGCTGTTCACATTCTATCAAGAGTACATAGCAACACCAATTCCTCTTACTATATCACCAAATGCTCTTGTTTGTCTGTCTGTCATTGTGTAACTTGAGAACAGCTAGAGGTATGGGCACTAAATTCTCCATGATTACTCATGGGACCTTGGAGAACTTTTTTTTTTTTTTTAGCGAGGAGTTCAGTTTACTGTGTAAATATATTAAACCAAATCCTTCCTTTTTTTTGTCCATCAAGCTAAAGGAAATCTTCTTTTAGCATATCTCTGGAAAATTTATTAACATTTTTTATTATTGTTGTTACTAAAAATAAATTTCAGAGATATATAAAGAAAGAATTTCACTAGTGAAAATTCTATCACTTGAAATGCTTTTCCTTACTAGCGCTTTAAGGATATTCTTCAATGTAAATCCAAAATTGATCAATGGACACCTCTTTATGCTTGATTTGTAAGCCACAATCAGCAGATATAGTGACCGTCTCCTCTGCTTCTGTTAACGGTAAACCAATGTCATCATTTGAAATGTCAATTGATTTAGACATGGAAGCTATATGCTTGGTGTCTCTAGCTTTTTTAAAAATGAATATATATTTTTTTTTTTTTTTTTTAATATAAAATGAATTCATAAATTACTCTTTTGTTGATTTAAAATGCAACTACCTGTCAGGGTGCATTAGTGCACCAGTTGCGAAATGCAGAAAGTATGTATATTTGAGAGACAAAGTTCAACCTTCACTGTTGACTGTGTTTTTTTGTTTTTTTTCTTTTCAGTTGTCCAGTCATCACCTTCTTTGATCAAAGATCAGCAAATCCATTCAGTGAAAGAATATGCAGAAATTTTTGGAAATTGTCTCGATTCATTAAAAGTTGAGCTATCCAATCAGGGACCAGATGGCATTCTCGTGTGGGACAAGGTTGGTTTGTTTACTTACCTGTTTGGAAAGGCAAAATACAAATGATCTATTGTACCAAAGAATTTACAAGTAAAAATATAATCTGCTTTAAATAATGTAGTTGCAGAAGTCCAATGAAAATGTTCCAAAAAGTTATTCTTTTTACTGTCACTTGAAAAAGTGACTATGACCCCTGTATTTCTCAGTGTGCCAGGGCAGGGCAGGTCAGGCTAATAACATATAACCCAATACAGCCTGCCACATGGATGGGTGATTGGCATCTAAACTAGCTCTCCCACTGGCTTTTCTGCTGATGAGTATGGTGGCATGTCACCCCTCGGGATGAAAAACAAGATCTGTCAAAGGGTGATGAACTTTCTTGTCAGAGCTAATGGCCAACACACACACACATATATATATATATATATATATATATATATATATATATATATATATATATATATGTGTGTGTGTGTGTGTGAATTGAAGTCCCACATACAGAGGTGACAGTCTATTTCATGCTAAATGCAATTGTCAGGGTTGAAACACTGTCACAGCTGACTGTTGACTTCAATGTCCACTTTGATATTTACATATGCTCTATCTGTGATATTGAGCACTTTAATCCATAAATATAACATACCTTAAAATTATATTTTATCATATATACAAGACTAAGGTAAGATCTCAAACATTCAATTGCAACCTTCCTAGAGATGGTGTTTCAATAAAAACATTTGGTGTACTTAGAGTATTGTGTGTCTCTGAGTTGGGCATTGGGAAGAGCATCTGACCTTGTAAAACTCTGCCTCAAATCATAATGACAAATTTTTTGTCAAGCAGGACCCACCTTGCCTTGTGTGAGATTAATCCCGGTCTTGCCTCTCCCCTCCCCCCAAAAAAAACATGGCTATATATGTTAAACTAATAAAATTCTTCTTGGTTCAGTCTCCCTAAAATTCTTTAGAGTACAAATTTCATTTGGGTTCAAAAGAAATGTGTACTTTTTTTCTCATGGATATATTCAAATGTGCTCTGCAGAAAGTGTGATTGACATGTTGCATTCACTTTCACATGAATATCCTTGAGAAAGGCCTGAATCCATATCTTCTTTACCCAGGTTAGGAGTCATTAACATAGCAGGGCAGACTGGACTCTCTAGCCTTTGTTGGCATCCAGTCTAGGAGAAAGATGAATCCAAAAACCAATTAGGCATTGGGCTAGCAACTTCACTGTATAAAAAACTACTTCCTAGAGAATCCAGAACAGCAACACCTAGCGCAGTGAGTCTGTGGTACTATATTCCAGTGGGAGTCTACAGGGTTAATTTGTATGAATATTTTATTGAATAACAAAGAAATTTATTACAAGGATTTTAATATGGTAACATTCTTTCTTACCTCTCTCTCTCTCTTTTTTAGGATGATGACATTGCCATGGACTTTGTGACTGCAACAAGTAACATCCGTGCTCATATATTTGGCATTCCAATCAAATCAAAATTTGATATTAAATGTAAATTTAATTTAAATCCCTTATTTACTTCTTTTCACGTCCTTCTTCTGTTCCTCTCTTTCTCTTAATGAATTTCTCATTTTGTCTTTGCTGATCAGAATGGGTCTCATTTTGTTTTTTTTGCTGATCAGAATGGGTCTCATTTTGTCTTTTTTGTTGATCAGAATGTCTCTCATTTTGTCTTGAACAACAAGATCAAAAGCCTTTATAGCAGTACTTGAGGAAAATAAAAGAAATAACCAAAACTACAGTGTTTTTCTTACTCAGTTTTGTAACAGCACTAAGAAATTGATCCATGAATTTGAGAGGATTAAAATAAAATAAAGGCATAATATGTCTGAATTATTCAACCAAACATACTTGAATGAAGATATGCTGCCTAAACACACACACATACACACACACACACACTATTATCCTATTTTTATTCAGGAATAGATTTTAAGTAAAAAAGCAAGGCTACAACTTTCTTTATTTTTTCATATTTTTTTTTTTTTTTTTTTTTTTTTCAGCCATGGCAGGAAACATCATTCCTGCAATTGCCACTACAAATGCTATCATTGCTGGATTGATTGTCATGGAAGCCCTTAAAATTTTATCTGGAAACATTGAAAACTGCAAAACTGTAAGTTATTTGAATTTATTTCTAGCTTTTAACCATTTATTTTATTTTATTTTTTTCATCAGGGTAGTCCTGGGTATGATGATAAAATACATCCAGCATCAAGGCCTCTGATTGGGAAATAGGTTTTGAGGAGTGTGGAACCATCTCTTAATTGCTGTTGTTCCCAGGTTCACCCTGACCCATGGTGATAGCACCTGTTAGGGTTCCGGCTATGGGCAAATAGTGAGCACCCCCCCAAAAAAAAACAATATAAGTATAAAAATACATTTTTATATAAAGAAGATCAACAATACATGACCAGCAATACATTTTATCTGTAGTTGAAGGCATAAAATTATTTTTCAAAATATATATATATATATATATATATATATATATATATATATATATATGTAAGCAAATGTAAATGGATATAGATCCGACAGAATGAAGAAAAATTTGGAAAAAACAAACAAAAATCCTTAAATGCAATTATGTTGTTTAAAAATGAATGAAATGTCGACGTCTGACGTTTCGGTTTAATAAACCTTTTTCAAGACAATATTCATTAAAATACAATTCAGTTCAATTTGACAAAGACGATGGACATAAACAACAAGTCTTATCCAAAACAGATAACTGAAAATTTTAAAAATGATCAAACCAAAACGTCAGACGTTTTACATTTCATTCATTTTAAACAACATAATTGCATTTAAGGATTTTTGTTTGTTTTTTTTAAATTTATCTTATATATATATATATATATATATATATATATATATATATATATATATATATATTATATAAATATATCCTGGATTCATTGGGTATGGGTTAGATTGGAAAAGGATAAGGGAACTAACTTCAACAGGAGTTTAACTTAGAGTGCACAGGATTGTAGAAAATGATTTTATTTTTATTTTTTAAGAAGCAACTTATAAGCAAATCTGCTCAAAATTGACTATTTTAATCAAATCAACCACTGACATCCAGTGGCAGACCTATATTTCTGCATCCCTGGAGCCTGAACAGATATGGGGGTCTCTTCACAACCAGCATCAATAGATTTGAAGTTCCAGCTGCCAAAATGTAGGCGGTTGAATAGATTTTGGTGAGCATGAGACACCTGTGGGTACGGGCAATGCAACACACCCCAACCCACCTTATGGACACCATTTTGAAATTTGACCAATTACAGGGGAATTTTGAGGCCATATGAATTCATATGAATATATTTTGTTGGTATTTCAATATTTATTTACACCATCTCCAGAACAGGACGCAATTAAGGCTTGAATGTTTTCTTTTGTTCCAGAATGTTTTTATGTTACACATCTTAAAATAGCATGGTTCAGACCCAATTGTCCCTCTTGAGAATGAGCTGTGAAAATGTTTTCTCTCAGTTCAAACCTCTTGAATAATAGGGTACACTAAGTTCTTTAATTTTAATAGATCAACCAATCTAGAAGAAGAAAAACACTGAATTCAAGACAGTCTAGGCAATCTTGTCCTAGACACAATGACTGCAGCTAGTGGACATGTGGTGTGTCTACAACGCTTTTATTTTTCTTCCATCTTTCTTGACGTTTTATATGTGTAATGGATTTTGTTGTAATTACTGATTCTTCTCTCTTCTAATTGATAGGTCTACCTGAATCGACAACCTGCCTCTCGCAAACAGCTCCTTGCCCCATGTGCTCTTGTTAAACCCAATCCTGAGTGTTATGTGTGTACAGATAAACCAGAAGTTACTGTGCTTTTGAACACCCAGAAGACCTCCATCAAAACACTGGAAGACAAGGTAAGGAAGGAGAAAGAAAAAAAAAATAGAGTGGGTTTGTTTGCTTTCATCCTTTTATCCAAGCTTTAATAGTGTATAAGTGGGGGTGTTTTTTATAACTTTGTTGCTCCTTTGATCTTTGGTTAGGGTGGGGAGATATATTTATCTACATTTTTATTATTATATATATATATATATATATATATATATATTATCATCCACAGACAGACTGTTTCGCTGTATCACAGCTCATCAGTGTATGGACGTCCGTTGCCTCATGTAAAACCCGACTGAATTGGCGTCAGTCGGGATTCTACCACTAAGCCGTTGGCGCACGGCAGGGATGAAGGTGGATTTAAGTGGATTTATTTTTTGATAAATACACAGTGACTGAAGAACTCAATTCTCATTATCGAAGAGTCTTGCATTATTATTTAATAGTCAGTGTTTACAAACCCACACTTCCTCCCCAGAGAGCTCAACCAAAATAAATTTTTCAGGAGCATATATTTATCATCTACAGACAGACTGTTTAATTGTATCACAGCTCATCAGTGTGGCTAGACATCCAATTTGCCTCTAGCTAGGATCAAAACTCGACTGAATTGGCATCAGTCGGGAATTCTATCCACAGACTGTTTCGCTGTATCACAGCTCATCAGTGTGGCTAAACATGCAATTGCCTCAAGCCAGGATCAAAACCTGACTGTTTTGGCAGAAGTCAGAGATTTCACCCCTGATCTATTAGTGCCCATTAAGAGGAAAGCTAATTTTTATGTTCTTCAAATAAATATGCCACTGTGCAAGAGGGCTCAATTCAAAAAAAGATTTTGCAGTATTAGCAATAGTAGTAAATCATTGTTTACAAATTCGTGTTTTCTCCCAAGAGTGCTCAACTGAATTAAATTTTCAATAACATGGTATATATATATATATATATATATATATATATATATATATATATATATATATAAGCGCTTCAGTTATAGTGTGTCCAGCTGTTGTGTTGTCAAAAGCCAGGAATAGATTAGCTGATGATAGTAGTGTCATCAGCATGCTGAAGCTTAAAAATATGTTTGCTGCAAGTCTTGAATCATTCCCAAAGGCAGTGGAGGAAAGTGATACAGGTACTACATCAGGAAAAGTTGGCTGATGATCAGGCTGGTTGGCAGCATATCTGCATAGACTCTAAAACCGCAGAAGAAAAAGTTAGTCCAACAGGGGGAGGAATGTCATTGAAGAAATTTTCATACAGAATCCATTCTCTGCTATCTATCATCCAAGATCTTTTTGGATGCCCTAGTTACAGAAAAGTGTGCTGTTCCTGTGATCATCTAAGTAGCCACACAAGAACCCATACACCATAAGGGGAACCAGACAACTTCATCTGAAAAAGAGGGTTAATGAGGAAAACGGTGACATTCAAAAAGAAAAGACGTACACTTTTCACAGCTCTACTTAGAAACAACTTTTATTACTTCTGTTGTTAATATAATATGCTTATAAAATAAAAAATGGAAAATTCTCAAGGACCTTGAAATTTACAAAAATCCACCCAGATCATATTGGTTAATTTTCTACAGCTTATCAACCCTTTTGCAGGTTATTTAAAGCCAGAAAATATTTAGATTGTAAGATTCTTTTATTTTTTTTGTGATAATGGTTTACTGATACAAGTTGAACTAATTAACTCATAGGTGGGAGAGAAGAGCTGGAATACTACCTTTCCCAATGATGTTTGCACGTAAGTGAATACAACAAACCCAAAGAGATTCCGAACTCTGCTCTCTGATTTACAATCCGGAGATATTGTTCATTATGCCACCTACACATTCAAGCTTACTGCACTTGATATTCCCACCACCCAGAACAGATCTAATCCCAAACAATCTTAGAAAAGGATTTGAATTTGTTTCGACTCTTCCTTTCAAGACAACAGAATTACTTAAATCAGCTCAAATACTGAGGAAGGTGCTAGAGTATTAAACATGTTGCCACTTGATCTCCTTTGAAATCCACCAATTACAAATAATAATATTTAAATAATGGATCATAGAAAAAAAGACAAAAAATGTGGGGGGCATTTTAATACTTCAGAAAGCAAAAAAGAAAATCGGATTAAATCAAATGAGTATGGTTGCACAAAGGGCATTTAAAAAAGGAAATTTTTAATAACAGGTAAATAAGTCGATTAGAACAAACAACATTAAACCAATGTAGACAACAAAATTATAAATGTCCAAATATTTTTTTTTTTTTCATTTCAATGATTGTTATGGTTTTCTCTTTGCAGATCATCAAAGGTCACTTGGGAATGGTGGAGCCTGATGTCGAAATTGACGATGGAAAAGGTAATTCTGAAATCAAATACCATTTCAGAATTGTAGAAAAATGCTAATAGATTTAAGTACTGTCACTGAAAATTCCTCACACCAAAAGTAACTCAATTTTTGTATATTGACAGGCTCCAGATATTTGAATCTTTGTATTCATATATATTAACCAATCAACAATGTTGTATGGGACGTGAGGTATTCTTTGAATTGGTAGATGACAAAATATCTCTTAAAAATTATATTTTGGAGTCTCAATTTAGAATATGATCAACAATATTTTTTCTCCTTAAAAGGAATATTTAAAAATTGGGAAAATATATATTAGCTCATAAGCTTGAGATTAATAAATCTAAATTTTAGATTCATCCAGAGCCTAATATTTTATTATAAATATGATTGATTCATGTTCACTAACTAGTCTTTCAGTGGAGCTTTGACCAGGGTGTTTGTTCGATTGTTTATTATACAAATGAAACTGAAATTCTCACAATTAATTAATTACTCAAATGTTTTACATATTTATTCAAGTATACAATGTTACAAAAATTTTGTTTAACGATAGAGATAGCATTCCATTAACTTGTTTACATGCAGCGACAGTAGCTACTAACTTCCTGCCTTTATTTCATGCAGTTTATTGCTGGAATTTCATACACACGGTGAAAACAGTGTAAGCCTATGTCACATAGATCTGCACACATTTAGACACATTTTCCATTTATCCTATACTAATGCAATTCATTCACTTGCACTGTAAAAAAAGATGCACAAAACGTTTTGTGTGAAGTTGTTTGCAAAGAATTTTTGTAATTTATTTCTTTCAATTTGAAAGAAAAATAATACTCAAATAAATAAAAATTATTAAAATTTGTAGGTTCATGTTTGAAGATTAATTCTTCATTTATACACGCATATTCTGCTACATACTTTCAATTTTGTGCCAAGAATGTTTTTGTCCTTCACAAATAGGAATTGATCTAGTGAGAAAAAGCTTGTTAACCATTACACCAGATTGAAGTCCCCAATGTAACTTGTGCCTAGCTAAATAATTTATGATTTCTCATGTCATCCAGGAGATTGTATTTCCAAGAATAATAATAAAACAATTAACATTAAATTTTTATATATATATAGTAAGAATATAATATGAAAGATGAAAAACACTAATATTCCATGGTTATAATTTATTATATTGAAATCATAATCACGATCCAATTCATCAGACCTAAAAATGATGAATTGGATTGTGATTATTTATGCCAATGTAATAAATTATAAAATGGAATATTAGTGTTTGAGCTTTTTATATATATATATATATATATATATATATATATGTGTGTGTAAAAAAAAAAAAAAATAAATAAAAATACTATCAGATATAGTGATATATCTGCAAAAAGGACAAAAGAAACACTTAGTCGGCACATTTTGTCTTCTGACTGACTTTAGGCAAATGTGAGGATTTTATTTTGCAACAAGTATTTATAAACAAAAGTAAAAATGCTGCTAGTTTTTTTAAATTTCTAAATTTATGACATGCATTATGGAGGATACTAAATGACATTATTTAATGTCTAATAAATCTGTGTGCCAAATTTTTTCAAATATCTCCATTCCTGAAAGAATTACTCTTATCTGAAGCTAACAGAAATGTCTATAAAAAACGTTAAAAATATTAAAGGAGAATGGTTAAATTCATAACCTGTTATTTAAAAAGTATATATTACATGAATTTATCCCATAGTAAAATAACTAAAAAAAAAAAAAAAATTCAACATAATTTACTTGCCTTAAGTAGACATTAAATTAAATCACTTAGCATCCTCCATAATTTACCTAGACTTTTCAGTTAAGATGATAAATATTTGAGTGTCTCTTGAGTTTAAAAATTTTGAAAAATTAACATTTTTACTTTTGTTTAAAAATACTTTTTACAAAATAAAATCCTTACATTTGACTTGATAAAGTCCATCAGAGGACAAAATGCGTTGGCTCAGTTTTCCTTTTGTTTTCATATATATATATATATATATACATACATTTAATTGAATACAACAGACAAGGTGCTTTTATTAATTTGTCATATTCAATGAAATGTGCATGAAAAAGATTGCTGCTTAAATACACAAATATATATATATATATATATATATATATATATATATATATATATATATATATGTATGAATGTGAATTTTAACAAGTTTAATAGTTTATCTCCAAACTTGTGTGTGTGCAGTAACAAAGTTAGTTGATACCTAATGATGAACATACAAGTTGGGAGGCAAGTCATTGAACTATATTTACCTATTCACATGTGTGTGCGTGTTGTGTGCATTGGTTGTTGTCATCTTCTAATCTGTCCTCCATTTTATTTCCTCAAGGAACAATTATTATCACAAGTGAAGAAGGAGAAACTGAAGGTAAGAATTTCTCTTCTTCCTTTTATTCTTGCTGATGATCATCAATCAATTAATCACCATCGTCATCAATTTTTCATACTTAAAGAAAATGAGTTTTTTTTTTTTTTCCTTTGGAGGGTAGAGCGGGTATATAACGGAATATTAGGAAACACTCACAAACTAAATATAAAGAAAAATCATCTAACAATTGTAATTTACTGTCTTTGTTCGGCCAATTGTTGCTGTAACTCTGCATTACAATGAAATCACTTCAGTTATTTTTCCATCAAAATAATTCCAGATCTTCTCTACTGCAACACCAATGCATTAAATGTTCAGAAATTATTCTTTCAAAGTCTAAAATTGTCTCTCGGCATGAGAGATTTTTTATGCCGGAATTTCTGGGATGAGGAGTTATCATTATTTACACTATTTATATTCAGACCATTATCCTCATCTTTGTTGTTGCTATTACCTGATCGCCTTCAGACTGAATTTCTGTGATGAGGAGTTATCATTATTTACATTATTTATACTTAGACTATTGTCCTCATCTTTGTTGCTTTTATCACCTGATCGCCTTCTGTCTGAATTTCTGGGATGAGGAGTTATCATTATTTACACTATTTATATTCAGACCATTATCCTCATCTTTGTTGTTGCTATCACCTGATTGCCTTCTGTTTGAATGTCTGGGATGAGGACTTATCATTATTTACACTATTTATATTTAGACTATTGTCCTCATCTTTGTTGTTATTATCACCTGATTGCCTTCTGCCTGAATTTCTGGGATGAGGAGTTTTCATTATTTACACTATTTGTATTTAGACTATTCTCTTTTTTGTTATCACATTTCAACTCTTAGGCCCTCAGCCTTCATCGGGTGTGTATCGACCCGGGTAACCTACAGGAAATTCTGAACTGAACCCTTTATTTAATCTACTCTTCCCCCAGTTCTCATTCGACAGCCCAATTCTAGTGATATCTAGTGTAGTTTTTATTTTTGTTACTGCTCCGTTCTTGTTCCACTTAGTTCAGTTTTACCTTGATCAATGAAGGCTGGAGGGCACTACAGCTGAAACATAGCAAGAAAGACGAGGACAATAGTCAGAATGTATTTAGTATGAAAGATGTATTATTAAAGTTGTTTCATAATCTTCAATAATTCAGTTGTCCAATGCATTAGGAATTAGAAAAACAATAACAGTCTGTAACACTGAAACCAAACAAAATTAAAACAGGAATTTTACTTTGGTAAGTGGACAGCTTGCTCTTGTTGCTTCTGATGTCTATTTCTAGAAACATCATTATGACTGGACCAAACGGTTTCTCTGTTCCCATGAAAAACTACATGTAACTTAGAAGCCAGAACAGTTGCAGAAGAAATACTGTATGACAAACATTCAACGCACTTACTGGAATTGAAAAGGCAATGATGCTTTGCATACTAAGTCTGCCATTTGCAATGTGGAAACAGCACATGTGTGGACTGGCATACCTGATATAACTATCGACTATGCAAATTCTAAATATATATAAAGGCTACAAATTTGTTGGTGAGGTGTAGGACTTTTGACTGGTGTTATGGTAGTTACATAAGAACAGAGACAGGAGAAAGAGAGACCTCATGTTTCTGGATATGCAAGACCACAAGACAGACTTGTTGAGTTTCTGGACTTGGAGAGACTCGTCACGTTTCTGGAGCCGAGAGACTCGTCACGTTTCTGGATATGCAAGACCACAAGACCAGACTTGTTGAGTTTCTGGAGAACAGACTTGGAGAGACTCGTCACGTTTCCTGGAGCCGAGAGACTCGTCACGTTTCTGGAGCCGAGAGACTCTTTGTATTTCTGGAGACAACAGAATGAGAGACTTGTCTCCAGTGTCAAAAGAAGAAAAAACCTAGGTTCGCCATGAAACTGATTACTAGTGTTAAATGAAATCACGTTCCCCTGTTTAGATTCCTAATTTGTTTTGCACAATTTCTCAAACATATCACCTGGACATGGGCAGCAAAATAAAAACAATCTGTAAATACAACATATTGCCCAAGTTTGCCCAATGATTACCACACATTGTATTCAGATTCCTGATCTTATTGTGTACACTAAAAGCTGGGAAATGGTCTGATGCTGCTCAAAAGGTAACAAAATGAAAGACATATCAGGAAATAAAAATGCAATCCCTGTTTCTCTTATAAAATAGATGTTATGGGTGGGTGGGTAGGTGATACTGAGTTCAACTTTTGCTGTGTTTGTTTAACAGCATGCCTCTTTCCCCTAGCAATTTCTCACTCATCTCATCCTAACATAGTCGCTGGCAATACAAATTTGCAGCAAAACAACATGACGGATAAATCTGTCTCCAACCAAGAGTGGGACCAGAACTCTCCCTAATTCCAATTATGACTGTTAAAATAGAACAGCACCCGGATATACCCTATTTCCAGTTTTGTTGCCACTTAATCTCCAAAAATCCTTAATTCACTCTTTTACTTCCTGTTGCTCTTTAGTCAAAGTGGATACTGCTTATTAAGAATGAACTTCAAAAGAAACCATCTGCTGGTCTATCATACAGAAACACTTGAGATTGAAATAAAACAACCTCTTCTCTTTCTACCCAGGGGTCTATAGTATCGCACAATCTACTCCAGTAGATAAAATAATTGGTTGAGTTTGAAATTCCTTGACAGTTACTTGGATTAATAGATGCTGGAAGAAGTCCAGAGGGTGTGACAGCAGAAACATTGTATTAATAAAGATGAAGATATTAACCTGACTGTAAATAATGTCAACTGCCTTGGTTTTGATATTGAGTTGGTGTTATCATTACCAAAAACTTTTACAACTTTTAAATCTCTCAATAAATGCAGACCAATATTTAAATTACTGTAATTCCCCATGTATAATATGCCTCTTGTGATGTCAATGAACACTTGTTGCCACTTTTGTAATGCCAATTCATACTTGTTCTCACTTTTGTAATACTCGTTGTAGTAGAGACTTTGTAATCGCAGATACAACTATAGTATGCCGTTGAACAATACTGATGTCAGACACCTTCGAATACTACTTGCACTAATAGTACTTGCTCAGTAATACTCACTCACAAGTAACCATCATATAGTGATCCAAATAGAGAAATAGTATAGTGATCAGTATAGTAAAAGAGGATAGACTAAAGATGGCGATCTGTATAGTAAAAGAGGATAGACTAGAAATTGTGATCATTTAGAGTTCACATGACTTCCTACTTATCCACTTCCTTTATGGTCTCGTGGTCTTCTTAATTCAATAATGTGATCGCCTGTGTTTGCTCACTAGTGATTTATGTTCAAACTCAAGTATCGGCAGTGACATTTTATTCATATATAACAGCTTTCATTTATATATATATATATAATTGTGCTGAAAGTGTGGGAAAATGCATAATATGCACCCTTGTTTGATAATCAAACTGTATAAATTGTACATCTCAATTTCATTATTACAGCATTTCCTTACTTTATTTTTAAAAAATGATTTTGAAACATAGAATAATATTCTAATTTAGTTTTAGTGATAATTCTTATTTTATTTTATGGCAATCTTTAAAATTTTTCTGTAATCATAACATAATAAACGCACCCCTGATTTTGCATTTTTTTAGGAAAAATGCTATTATACATGGGGAATTACATGTTTTTTTTTTTTTAATCAGTTATTGTTGCTACAGCTTTGTCTGGAATTCTAAAAAGCAAATTTTAGTTTATTTTTCTTATCTCTTTATTTCTTTATCTTTATTTTATTTTTTTATTTTCCCCCCAGAAAACAACGATAAAATGTTGAGTGACTTCAACATTGTAAATGGAAGTCGATTAAAATGTGATGACTTTTTGCAAAACTACAATTTGGTTATCACAATTCAACACGTGTAAGTATAAATTAACTTTTCTTTTTTTTTTATTTATACTCAGTTTATCAAATCTAGTATGAAATGTCTTATTAGTGGAGTTGTAGAATAGGAAGTGACTAAAAATATTTTTTAAAATATTTTTTAATATTACTAAAGAGTAATCTATATATAAAATGGAGGATATCTTTGTGTCTGTCAGTGTGATACCTTTTCACTCAAGATCTATCCAACTGGTTTTGACCAAACTTTATACATACTTTGTACAATGTCAGAGAGATTTAAAAAATCAAAAATCAATAAAGCCGATCAAAAATTGATAAATTCAACTTTTTTTTCTCCAATTTTGTTCAAACTCGGTATGTATGTTACTTACATGACAAGCTCAATTTTACCTATTTTTATTTCTATGCCACTGCATTTAGCAAAAAAACCAAAAATCAATTTCAACACAAATTTTAAACTAAAATCTCCCTCACTTTTCAAGCAATCTAATATGAACTCCACTCAATTGAAGCCAACAATAAGTTGATTGTTTAACAGTCATTTAACTTGATAATTGCATCCACCCATATAGTGAAAACCCATGTAAATAGTGAAAAATGGCGATTTTTACTGGTTTCTTTCTTATTTTTCATTGATCTTTCAACCAATTTTCATCAAACTTAACAATTGCTTTATATCCGCTTTTACATCCTTTGGTAGCACACTGACAAATCGAATTTCAAAAACTCGAAAATAATTGTGGTCTGAAGTGGGTCTTCATGTTGCCTGTTTTAACCCTTCATGTCCTCGGCTAAATTCGATTGGATAAATACGGACTACTTCTGTTATATCTGTAACTGCATTAATTCAAAATGTTTGTTAACAAAAGTACTTTTAAGTAATTGAAGAAGATAGACTCTGTTACATCTAAATATGATGCTGTTTTCGCTCCATTCTAATTGAACGCTTTTTTTGATTGACCAGCTGGGTATAAACACCAGAATTTTTTATTATTAAATGTTATAAAAAGTTGATAAGGGGTGGGGGTACTTTGCTATGTAAATTTATTGTAAATTGATCCCCCCTCCCCATGAAAGCCAAAACAAAATATGCTGATGCCATGTGATTTTTTTTTTTTTTTAAATGTAAGAAATCAGAAAGCCAAATTTGAATTACTGTTGAGTTCCTTACGTTTACTTATATGCAAATACTCTTGGGAAAGGTATGATTCCATCTCCACTCTCCAGCTATAGGTTAAATAGTTGAACTTGTATCTAGAAAAATCATTATCTCCAAAAATATTGTTAATGCAATAGTTATTCACAAAATAAAAAAAGAAAGAATTTAAAATATGTTTCAGCTTTAAATAATCCCAAAAAGTTGATAAGCCATAAAAAAAAAAACACAGATCAATCAATCAGTTCTTAAATTAAAAAATTCATAATCTGGAGTTATTTTTTCATATATTGCTGTCAATTAATCACTCTGGATTATGAATTAAAAACAAAATCATGTCATGGGAGCTTATTTGTTTTAGCTTCTATGGGGGTGTCAATTTACATAACAAACTGGGCCCCACCCTTAGTAACTTTTATGAAAGTTAATTAAAAAATAAATATTTACAATCTTGATTGTTTAATCTCTAGCAATCTGGAAAAAAATTCTAGTCACATTGCTGATTGTATAGCTCATTTTACTAAAGGTGTGTGGGGGGGGCATTTGTCTTGTGTATTTAAATCGCATTACTTTTCATCTAGTCTCCTTTCTTTTTTCCTCTCTTTTTATTTGACTCTTTTTTTTATTTTTTTTATTTGAAGATTTTAACTTAGTTTAAACAATAAACACTGTAAACATTCTTATAAAAAATAAATCTTTTTAATTTTGATTTCTAATTTTGTTTTTCTCTCTCATTGCATGTAGTTTTAAGGTGTGCTATATTTATGGGATAAAGTGCTCAATATCAGAGATAGAGCGTATGTAAATATAAAAATGAACATTGAAGTCAACACTCAGAGGTGACAGACTGTTTCATGCTAGACGCAGCGGCCTAACTGGCATTGGCATCTATACGTCTCACACACACACATACGTGTGTGTGTATGTAAAAGTGAACATTGAAGTCAACACACAGAGGCGACAGGCTGTTTAATGCTTGGCACAATTGTCAGGCCTGACAATTGCGTCTAGCATGAAACAGAATTTCTGAGTGTTGACTTCAATGTTCGCTTATATATAATGTTCAATAAAAACAGTCAACATTCTTATGAAAAATAAATCCTTTTTTTATTTTGATTTCTAATTTTTGTTTTTCTCTTTCATTGCATGTTCTCAGTTCTAACATTTTCCACTGATAGGAATTGGATTAATAATATTGAATCAATTGCTAAGTTTTCTGTTAGGAAAGTTGGTAATTCATGCTAGACAATTTTTTTTTTCACCAGAATCTATCATTAGTTTGTATATCGAATTATCTCGATATTGTCAACAAAATTCAAAAAAAAAAATTTGCAATGTTATCAGTTCAGACCTGGCATCTCTTGATAATTTTCATGGCGGTGTTTCTTTTAGATGGTACTGCTATGTCAATAAGCATACACTTCTTGAATTTCTTGTCTTTTATGACAATGTCAAGTCTGTTGGCCTTTATTTCCCTTCAATTTGAATTGGCATGTTCCAGAGGATAGTTGCATTGTTATTTTAGGTAACTGTGTCTGGTTGGTGCTCATACCATCTCTCAGTGGTTTTGATTTTGTGTTTCCAATGCACATATGTCACTACCTTGTTATGTCTGTGGGTATATTCATTTCTTACTAGTTCTGGACATCCTGAGATAATGGTTGACAGTTTCATCACATTTTCCACAGAGCCTGCATTTTGGGTTAGTTCCATCCTTGATTATGTGACATTGAGAGGATCTGGTTGCAAAGCTTTGGTCCAGAGCTGCAATAATTAGGCCTTTTGTCTCAGGTTTCAATCTGGTGCTCCTCAGCCATTGATGTGTTTTCTGCTGGTCCACAACTGCTTCTTTCGTTCTTTTTAGGTATTTGCCATGCAATGCCTTGTCCTCCCAGTTTTTTTGTAATTTCATTTGGCCAAGTTGTTTTGCTTTCTGTTTTACTTATTTGGTGTAGATGGTATTGACTTCGTTTTTTGTTGGTATGGTTTCAGGTATATTAAGCCGTTTCTTGAAGAGTGCAGCTTCTTTGCTGATGGAGTGGATTTGGTATTTTATTATTTGTAAATGAGGGTCATTGGTTTTTGTGTGGTATGCTTCCAATCCAATTGTTGTAGTTTTTAGAGTTCAAGTTGGATTAGACGATTGTACATTGTTGGTAGGCAGGTTCTGTGTCTCTTTTGTTTGTTACTCCCCGTGTCAGCTATATGGGGCATTTTTCTGGGTTTATGATTATATAATTGTATGCCCATGTGAGGTCTTAGTGGGTGCTAGATAAGTTTTTTATCCATAAATTGGCTATTCCGTCTATTCCTGATGCTTTCCAGTTTTTGGTTTTGCAGATAACAGCGGCTGTTACAATAATATTGATATCCATCCATTTTTGGCACTCTATATTCTTGTTGCTTGATCCATCTTAGCTCTTTTAGTATGCATTTTACCATTTTCTCACATCTTAAACCAGAACTCTTCAACATCCTGGATATTAGATGGGTCATTTATCTCTATTTTACTTTTTCCCCTTTCTCGATATAGTTTCTTGGCATCTTCTTTGAAGATCTTGTTTGGCCAGAAGAATCTGTTTCTCTATTTACATTATTTGGACTATTGTCCTCATCTTTGTTGCCATATTTATCTGATCCTTCAGTATCTGTCTATATTTCTGAGATGAGGTACTATTGTCCTCATCATTGTTGCCATATTCATTACAACGTTTCAGCCGTTGTACGCTCCAGCCTTCTTCAGGTGGTTGGAATGTCGAACTGAACCCCTTTATTTCAGTTCAATATTTCAACCACCTGAAGAAGGCCGAAATGTAATGAATATGGCAACAATGATGAGGACAATAGTCCTAATAATGTAAATAGTGTACATAATACCTCATCTCAGAAACATAGACAGATAAAGAATCTGTTTCTTTTTTTCATAACACCTGATTCTCTGTGGCTTTGCTTGAATTTGTTGTTTCAGCTTCTCTTTAACTTTTGGAACATCAGTCTTATTCTTTATGTCAAGGCTTCATTTCAGTTGTCTCCTTTTTCTTTCTTTCCTTTTCTAACCCCCTGTCCACTTCACTTAGAAGTGACAATTGTCCTCATAGTTTATTTATTTTGTTTTCTATTTTCTCTTCCCAGATTGGCATTTTCCTTTCGCGTTTACGTTGTGTTTTTACTTTTTCACCTATTGTTTCTGCAATTGTTGCCAAGGCCATGTATATAAGATTATTAATTTCTGTCAGTTTCATTGGTCTTTCCATTTTGTCCTTTATTTTGCTAATTGCTTGGTTAGCACAGTTCATGGTTTCCTTCACCTGGCAGTTCTTTCTTACTTTTGGAATTGTTGGCTTTTCCTCAAAAGACATTTCCTTTACATTCTCCCATTTATATCAAATGTTTTTGTTATATCTATTTCTCTCGTATTCATCATTGTTTTTCTCTATTTGCTAGTGTACCTCAGAAGGATTATTACAACTGGTTTCTATTTGTCCCTCTGGGTTGTTGGCATTTAGCCCCTCAATGTTAATACTTAATTTATTTTTGTTTTCTCAGATGCTTTTGACTTCTATATCAGGTGTTCTTTTTTCCTGATGACATCACGCCTGACATTAGCTAGTTTGTTGGCATTGATCTGTTTGACGGATGTTTTTCTCTTTTTTTTTTTTTTTTTTTTTTTTTTTTTTTTTTTTTTTTTTTTTTTTTTTTTTTTTTTTTTTTCTTTTTTTTTTTTTTTTTTTTTTTCTTCTTTTTTTTTCTTTTTTTTTTTTTTTTTTTCTTTTTTTGCCTATTATAGGCAGCTTTGCTCTTTACTGTCATCAGATTTATGGTAGCAGTGTAAAGTGCTATCATGACTTCAATATACTCTTCCCTAGACCATTTATTTATTGTTCTTTTTGTGGGATTTTCTTTTAATGAATATAGAGGGCCTCTTTAAGGATTGTCCTTGGCATGGTTTTTCCTCTAGTTCTTATTGGGTACAGTTTGTTCCAGTTGCAGACTTTTCGACCCCAGTCTGGTTCCTTAATGGGGATTGCGGTTCTTGTTGACCTGTGTGAAAACCGATGCAGTTTAACAATATTTTTTGTTGTGTCAGCATTATAGTTAGTTTGTATTTACGCCTACATTCGTAAGCACCAGAGCATATCCATACCATAGAGGTATTGTAATTGTTTACATTATTTACATTGTTCTCCTGTTGTTGTTACTTTTTTTTTTTTTTTTTTTTTTTTTAGTGAGAAATTGGATGACAATGCTGAATTTTCAGTGGTTGGAGATGCAGCTGCCCTCAAGGCCAAAGAGCAGCAAAAGGAAGGACAAAGCAAAGCTGGACCATCGAACATATCACCTGTCCCTTCAACTTCAAAGTCACAAGGTAAGAAAAATGATAGATTCCTAATGGCCATGGATTTATGCTCTTATGTTGAAAATACAGGTGCCGGAATGTTTAACTACTTTCTTCAATATATACCCCCCCCCACCATGACACAGAGCTTATTAGACTGTTTATTAACAAGAATAATTTTATTTTTACAACACCCTAAAAGCGAATACAATTAAAATTAATGCAATGTTTATCATTTACCAATTTATAAAGAATGCTAAATTATTAAAATATGTAAACCAACAATTATAAAGAAATCCTTATTATATACCATTCTATAAAGTTTCAATCAATTGGCAATGAGCCAACGTTTTGCTAACCTTTTCAATAAACAATCTAATAGTGTTTATTATTTTTGTTGTCAATTCTGAAGAACGAAGTAAATGTATAAATTCATTTTCAATATCTGTCTATATTTCTGAGATGAGGTATTGTAATTGTTTACATTGTTCGGGCTGTTGTCCTCATCTTTATTGCCATATTCACAACGTTTTGATGTCATATACTCTGGCCGTCTTGAGGTCACTGGAATTCTGAACTGAACCTTTTTTTTTCGTCCACCGGGTTAGATTGTTCTAGTTCCATGTGCCACGCCTCTTCCACATGTCTCGGTTATCTCTTTTTAACTTGACTCTCCAAGTTTTTCTTCACCACTGCAGTAGCCAGGTATTGAACTCACAACTCTTTGGGTTATGTCACTAGATCCAGCCAACTCTTTTATCCACTGGACCATGTGTCCTTGAGGAGCTTACAACGGCTGAAACATTGTGAATATGGCAATAAAGATGAGGATAATAGCCCTAACAATGTAAATAATGTAAATTCACTTTCATCATATGTTTAGGCTTTATCACAATTCTATCATTGCTTTTTAAAATTATAAACATGGTCGAGGTGTAAAGGTATTTTAAAATAAGAGTGGTGTAAATAGAAAAACCGCTTTTTTTTGTTTTTTTTGCAGACATGAAAGTCCGTGTTTGCTGTCATTGTTTTAATAGCTAAGGATGTAATTAGGCAAGAGATATCATAAGAATCTGCAATGTTATAGGTTCGACTTGGTATCTCAGCTTCAGTCATTTTCCTACTATCATAATGTAGCTTCTCTGTGCCTTTTCCACAAATGTTTCCATACCAATTGTTCTGGCAGACTTTCCTCTTTGGTATCTCGTTTTCACAAATTTAAGCATAGTACTAGATTGGTGGATATCCGCTGTAATGGATAGTTGCTCAGAATGAGAGATCAGAAAGTTGAGTTCCAGTTGAGTTCATTACATTCACTTGCACTCAAATACCCTTAGGGGAAAATATGAATCCTCTCTCTACCCCCTCCCCCCAAAAAAATAAAAAACAAACTATAGATTGAATAGCATGACTGACTGGGTCCTTTAGCCTTGGTTGGCACCCAGTCTACCAGTCTACTGCAGAAAGAAATGGCAACCTATTGCAGAAAAATCTCTACCTCATCAATCATGAATCGAAAGAGATATTATTCCCTGATATAATGGAATATGCATACACCTGTGTTCCCACTCAGTGGAGTGAGATTGGCTGGTGTCTGTCATAAATATCGACGGACATGTAGGGGAGAGAGAAGTCAAGAGCCTTAGTCTGAGGGATAAGTCTATAGCGACGCCCATTAGATTACACCATTGATCTACACTTCTTTCCTGTGACTGCAACTACGACAGTCGATTACTGCTACCGTATTCTACTTGGTTATAGTAGCCAAAACCACTTAGCTACTTCGTTCAAATATATCCCTTTCCGGGAGATATCATTCCCCAAGCATGTATCACATATAGCACTTAACAGACTTACTAGATTGTCCTCATTAATATAGCGACTTCACAAATTTAAGCACAGTGCTAGATTGGTAACTAGGTCCTATCAATTTACTCTGGAAAATAAGAACTAGACAAGATATCCCTAAACATACAATGAAATAAAAACAATTTATCCATGTAGATTAAATAAAGGGTACAGTTCGAAATTTCTCTTAGGTTATCTGGATCAGCCTGGTGAAGACCAGAGGGGTGAAACATTGTGATAACAAGCAAAATGAGCACATTTATCTACATGTAACAATAATTCTCTACATGTAATCATAATAATACTCATCTACATGTAACAATAATTCTCTACATGTAATACTAATAATACTCATCTACATGTAACAATAATTCTCTACATGTAATACTAATAATACTCATCTACATGTAACAATAATTCTCTACATGTAATACTAATAATACTCATCTACATGTAACAATAATTCTCTACATGTAATACTAATAATACTCATCTACATGTAACAATAATTCTCTACATGTAATACTACATGTAATCATAATAATACTCATCTACATGTAACAATAATTCCTCATCCCAGAAATTCAGACAAAAATTTCTTCACCCATTTTCTCCTTTGACTTTTTTCCTGTCAATTACGATCTTCAAAAATTTAAATGTAATGTCAATGATCATCTTGTCTCTTTGATTCCTGCTCTTTTTCTGTCCTCTCTGTTTCTTTTTCTCTCCGTGTGTCTTAGTGGCTTTATTGCCTTGCTTGGTATAAAATGATTAAAAAAAAAAAAAATTAAAATTAAAAATTCAGTCATAGTAAAGCACTTGCTGCAAAATATTGGTTAGAAAATTCTATTTTCTCTGCTGGGGTAGATAAATTTTATTTTTTTTATTTATTTATTTTTTTTTTTAATTTGTCGAGTCGTTTCATTCTGCTTTTGTTTCATCAATTTCAGTTGAGGATGATGATGATGATGACGATGATTTGATCATCATGGAACCAGAACAAGAAGATGTCCTCGATCTGAGTCCATCAAAACGAAAAAGGAAGGCATCTGGCCAGCATCCAGATTCCGAAGCTAAGAGCAAGAAAAGCAAACAAGACGACACCGACTGCGATCATGCCATCATTGTTTTGTAAACCATGATTTTCAATTTGAAATTTGATCATTTTTCTCATTTCTGTACCTTCCCAATAAACATTTTTTTTTTTCGATTCACATTTACAAAATTCAGTCGGTCAGTCAAAAAAAAAAAATCACATTTGTTGGTGTTCCTTTTTTTTTGTCTATCTACAAGTTTACTATTGTTAGGTTTTCACGTAGGTGCTTGTGTGTGAGTCTAAAAAAAAAATTTCGTATACATGTGAACTTTAATGTGGTGTAATTGTTAGTAAGCTTATCTTGTTCGATCACTTACAACAGAATAGTGAGTTCGATCCATACTAGTTGCCTCATTCTTTCGGCCTTGTGCCACATCTAACTTACACTTCATAAATCATTTAGCACTTTGATGTGGTGTAATAGTTAGCAAGCTTGTCTTGCTAGATCAATTACAAATGAATAGCGAGTTCAATCTTCACTAGGTGTGCCCCCATACTACTAGTCTTGTGCCACATCTAACCTATGCTTAGAAAATCACTATATACAAAATTCAGTCAAAAAAAAAAAAAATTTTCACTTTTTTTTTTTATTAACTAGTTTACTAATGACATTTAATGTCATTAGTATTAATCTTCTTTTTTTTTTTTTTCTTCTTTTTCTTTTTTTTTAAAGAAAAAAAAGATATATGGACACTTCAATGTGGTGCAATGGTTATTAAGCTTGTACCATTAGATCCGTAGTAACTGAGTAATGAGTACAATCCTCACTGGGTGCACCCCTATTTTTGGTCTTGTTTCACATCTAAGCTACACTTAGTAAATTGCTAAAAATTCAGATATACTGGCCCAAATCTTAAGGCCAATGAAAATAAAGAAAAATACACACACATATATGTGTGTGTGTGTGTTTTTTAGAATCAACCACTTATTTGAGTAGAACTTCAAAAAATGAAAATAAAAAAAGGAAAATTAAAAACTTTTTTCAAACTAATGGTGAAAATTTGAACACTGGAAATACTGTAAAAATAATATAAAGAAAAGAAATAATACTGAGTCACTTCCTTGTAAATTAAATCATAATAGGAAAGTCACCATCATATAACCGAAACTGCTCACTTCATGGAAATAATTAAAAATGCTCCCATCCAATCCAACCAGATAGTGAGCCTGAATATGGTGAATTTGTTTGACAATGTACCCATGCCAATAGACAACCTGATGGAGATACTGATTTTCTGTACACAAACACCATCAGAATGGGATGAGACATATATCAGCAGGATGAAGATTTAGCAATGGGCTCACCATTATCACCAGCAATGGCTAACATATACATGGAATACTTTGAGGAAATGGCATTAGAATCAATACCACCAAAGCCAATTCTATGGCAGAGATATGTAAATGACACTTTCATAGTCTGGCTACACTAGGAAGAAGTCTGGCCACTACTGGACCATATGAACTAAAATACAGTTCACAATGGAGAGAGAAAACAACAAACTAGCATTCCTGGATGTACTTATAGCTCAAACAGAGCATGGGTTCAAGACATCTGTCTACCACAAGCCAACATTCACTTTAATTCCCAACACCCATACAGTATAAAGAAAGAGATCAGCTGTTACCTATAACAGATATTCCAAATTAGCGTCAAGTTTGGCAGACAAAAAGAAAGCAGGCTGTAACTTAATACAGACCTCCATACTCAAGCATGCAAAGCAGTCTAATGATGGATATTTATTGATTACAGTATCCACACCAAAATCAACAGCCAATCAGAATCTAGAGAATAGGCTGACCCAAGTAGCATAATGGAACATCCCAGCCTGTTATATAGAACTTTGATTCGGGGGGGTCAGAGCAAACTCAAATTAGGCATAAGGATATTGCTTTCCTGGGTTGAACATAGGCAACCCATCCCGAGATTAGGTTAGTGTAGGTCTTGTTTTTTGATTTTTAGTTTTTCTTCTTTTCAGTAAACTTAGGGTGTGTTTGCTCATTGGCCCCTTTTATTTCTGTCCACCCCCCATTTTTTCCTTTAGCTTAACTCCCCATCCCCTCCCTCATTTAGGTGGTCAGTGATGTCAGTTCTCTGGTGGATGTGGGGTGCCTTTCGTTTCGCGTGTGTGTTTTACATATTTGTTGTTGTGTATGAATGAGTGTGTGCCTGTGTGAATGCTTTGGAAGAATGAATGTTTCCTTTATTTTCATAGTCCTGCATCGATTTTGTCCGGTTAGCTGATATTTTCTGCCACATTTAAGGTTTGTGGGGGGTTTTATTACTAACATCTTTTTGTTTAGTTTCTTGTAAATATATGTCATATTGTATATAGTCATTGGGGATCTTTTAAAAATTGTTGTTTTTATACCCCTCCCCCCACAGACAATTTTTGTACATAAGGGGAGTATTTAGGATTTTCGTTGATACAGAGGTATTTTGGTGGATGTAGTAAGAAAGGTATGGATAAATGTGTTGTTTTGGTGATAGGAATATTGTTTTGTATGATAGGGTCAGTGGTTGTGGCTAGCTAAGTTTTATATTAAGACAAGTGATGACCGTCCTTTTCCCCAACCTCCTTTTTGGCCTTGTGTCACATTTGTTGTAAATTACAGCAATAAATATTGTAAGAGCAGACTCAACCTTCAATACAGCTGAGTACTATCTGGCCTACTAAATCCTACACCGGGGAATTTCTGCAGCTATTTTATTGTAGAACTTGTCATCGGCTTATTCAATCATAAACTTAAGAATTTAGATTCATCAGAATATTAAAATAGGAAAACTGTGAAATTTTCATAGATATTTCTTGCATAATTAATTGCATGTTATGTTTAATCTTTTTTCTTTTCACATCAATCCATCCAGAATAAAATATAGCATTTGATTTTGAAGAAGGCGAGTATAAATTCTTTATTTTCCTAGTTTTGAGCAATTTATATTCAACAAACTTTATTTTAATTTTATAAGAAAAAAAGAAAAGAAAAACAGCTTTATTCAACCAATTGTAATTCTGAAATTTTTAATCCTTTAGCATTCAACACATTCAAACCTGACCCATTAATCTCGTCTCTAAAAACACTCAGTTTGTAGTCAAAATCTCACTTCCTGCGTTATTTGCGATAATGTCATCATATTATGCCATAGAGTATACATGGGGTGAGTTGGACATTGGGAGTCCATATTTACAGACATGGGTTGAATGTTAAAGGGTTAAAAACGATTATTATTTAAATGAACAAAGAAATATTTTCTAGTCATATATTAAATCTCAGTTAGTTCCTCTCCACAATATTTTTTCTTTGATTCTTATTCTTTAAAACCATATAATTCTATTTGTTTCTTAGCTTAAATGTTATATCCTGCCATTGCCTCAGATAAACAATGGACCATCCCTGTTTGTTTACAAGGGGAGATAAAAAAAAAATGACATGTCAAAATCAATGAACAAGCTGTGGATAAAAATTTACGAAATCCATTTTGCACCCAAATTCTGCATATGTGTGCACGTGAGTGATTTGCAGGTGTAGTATTTTATAATTGTGCTTGTTCTCTTCATTAGTTAACATGACTGTTACGCTCTACCCCATGAATAATGGACTATTCAGTTTTGATTGCAGGGAAAAGATACTACTTGGTTTCAGTGAGAAAAGAAAGAAAGAAAGGTAGGAGTGGGGAGAGAGAATCAGATCTGGCTGATAAGAACAGATACTACACTTTGATTGTGACCAAAAGGCTGAGAAGTCATGGCGACTGTGATAAAATGCACCATTTTTCAGACACAGTATCGAATGACAGAAACTGATTAAAACAATCACCAAAAATCATACCATAAATAAAGTAACATCATCTGCTGAATCATATTTAAATTATTATTATCTATAAGACAGGGATTTTGATCATGTTGAAAGAGGGGGGGACGCTACTTGGTTTCAGTGATAAAATGAAAGAAGGAAAATAGAAATGGAAAGAAGAAAATCAGACTAAGCTAAGGACAGATACTACACTGATCTTAGCTAAAAGGTCAAGCAGTTGATCTCCATTCTACCCATTCCAAGGATAAGTGCTCAAGGGTGTTATGTGGTATATTGACTGCTGTCAAGTTGCTTTTCAGCTTTTTTTTAGCCATGGGTGTCGTATACACGCACACGTATATATATATATATATATATATATATATATATATATATATATATATGCAAGTTTTTTTATATGAAGATTTTTGTGTTTTATTTGAACTTTTCATATATTTATGTTGTCATGTTTCATTCACTTTTTAAATGAAGTTTAAATGTTTCATATCAGTGCACAACTCCAGATCCTCAATTCATTGTGCTCCCCAGCTGTTTTTTTCCATTCACTGAAATATTTACTGAAAGTTCAAATATATGTGTCTGAAGGGAAACAATTTTATTTGGAACTACCTTTTTTTTTAAATTTTATCCAGAGGATGGCATATATGAAAATTGAAAATGAAATAAAACTTTACTTAAATGTAAAACAATAAAAAAAGGTAAACTTTACTTAATGTTGTAAAAACGCTTCATTCCATTGGTGAATTTGAATTAAAAAAAATAAAAACTTGTAATTCCAACAAATAATTTATTGTTAAAACATATATTTTGGAAAACTTTTGCAATCCTTGATCACCCTTAAGAAATAAATGAAACAGTGAAAAAGGTTTCCGAAATATATCTGTTTTAACAATAAATTATCCCTTGGAATTACAAGTTTTTATTCTTTTTAATCTACTTAAAGGTTTTTAAAATTCTTCATAATTCTTTAAAAATATTTTCAAAGAAACATAAAATCTTTATTTTGATATGTCATAACATTTTCAAAAAATTTTTTGCATAAAATTTTTTATTCATTTAAGAGAGATTCTATAAGTTTTATAAAAATATTTTGTAAATTTGATTTTCAGAATTTAAAAAGTGCTACCATCAGGTTTGTATGGCTGACAGCTGAACAGGTAAAGACTGAGAAACATAAAAATGGTAAAAGTAATGGAAATGGAATAGAAAGATAGAGAAACTCT